ATTCCTCCATGCCGACGAGGATAATTTCTGTTATCGAAGAACAGACGGCCGACGCATCCGCGTCTGTGAAACAGACATCTCTCCAAGGAAAGCTAGAGAAGAAGTCTCTGAGCCTCTCCCAGTCGGCATGTCCGTAATGCCAAGTTTTGCGGCCTGTACGAGTTTCTGTTGCAACAGCGGGTTCAGATCGAAACCTAACCTCCACAACACCGTGGTCTGAGTTACCCAGGGGAAAAAAGTAGGGCTCGTCACCAGCTGGGCAGCCCTTGAGTAAGAGCGAACGCCTCGACTGCACGACCTGCTGCATGGGTCTTGTTTGAGCCCAACCAAAGCTCATTATGTGCATTGAAATCACCGAGAAGAACTACCTCTGAAGCGGGGTGATTGATGTTCAGGAAGTCGATCTGGACGGCGAGTTATGGTCCGAGGGAGAGCGATAAAGGCAGCAAAATAAATTTGGGTGATGTTTTGGAGTTGAGGCGAAGCCACAGAATGTCCATCCGGTCTGATTCCAAAGAAACATCTCTGGAGCAGGAAAGACTGCTGCGGACAAAAGCCGCAACTCCAGCGTTCTTTCTCAGGTTGGAGTGCACCTCGTAGTTTGGGAAGTTGAGATGGTTAAATTTTTGTCTCCGCCAAGAAAAGCACGGCGGGACGATTGGATTGCAGGTAGTGATGAACAGCATCAATGTTGCTGTTAATCCCGCAGATGTTCGAAAAACAAATGTTATCTTCGAGCCCACACTCCACCAGGGCATTCCGAGAGTGGAGTGAGTTTACGTCCGGAGTTCTTAGTGCTCGAGAGATCCATCACCATTAATTTCTTTGTTTTGGAAGATAACCGACTGCATAGCTTTGGTGTGGAAACATGCGGACATTTATAAGATACCCTGGGAAAAGCTAGCGGGTGGTACCGCCTCGGTCAACTGGTCCATGTCTACCACCTGCTTTTTACGTATTAGTGATATTAAATAGACCTAAAGTGGCCCGTTGGCGGACTTGAACGGGAAGAAGCTCTATACTGGATACAACAACTTCCGGAACAAGCATTTGCCACGACCCCGCTCAGTAGGGGTTACGAATTCCACAGAAAATTTAGGAATGAGGATAGCAGCTCTAAAACTGGCAGTTTGCAATTGATGACGTGTTGCTTCTACTAACATTCTACAATTTTTTTTCAACAGCAACATTTACGATAGAGAAAACTCTTATTAGAGAAGTTTTTAGACTACTGATGTATGTCGTCCAGAACTTTGACCCCGCATTCTGAGTTATCGACGATCTTTCAGCTGAAAAGCATCTGGAGCTCAGACTCCAGTGCAACGAAGTTCAAAGTTGAAGGTAATCAAGCATTGAGAATACGATAAAAAAATATTTTCTTCTCGAAGTTGAGTCATTTATTTTAACAGTGAGTAGATCTGATCAAAAGAAATGTTTTTTTCCTTTAACATTTTTGTGGTAAAATTAAAGTAACAAAGTGATAGCCCTTTAGAAGTTTGAGTACCGCCCTGTCTCAATAATAATATTATGTGCTCGTGTTTGGCAACAACGGATATAATCCGCCTTATCGGTTCATCGCATCGGAAACAAAAAAGCGAAAGAATTTGAAACGCTGATCACAATGTTTTTATTCAGTCTGTGTCAGTCGCTAACGCGTGAGTGAATAGTGGTGTTTGCTGCGTGGCTCAAACGAAATAAAAAATGGCACATGTTTATGCGGATCGGTTTCCCAATAGAGTGCAACCAACCCCTCGTGCCTTTGTTAATGTAGTACAACGGGCTCGTGAATCAGGTGACTTAAGACCTCACAGGGGAGGGAATGCCGGTGCTCCAAGACCTCACGATCAAATACAGGTCCGCACTGGAATACTTGTCGGGAGGATACTTTATAAAACAAGGTAATTTTTTTTTTATTTTTTTTGTTATTTTTACACACATATTTTGGTTTATCTTCCTTCTACAATCATTATCTGAAAATTAATGACTCAACTTCAAAGTATATAGAGCTCATACGCAAACAACAAACACCTCGAACGGGATTAAATTTGTCTTTGCCGATGGGTGGACTATGGGTAGTAGTCCAGTGAAAATAACATTACGCGTTTTATGTCAAACAGCTCGAGCAGTGGTAGTCGATGCCGTCGGCGGATCAACGAAAATTATCCAGTGAAATTAACTTCCCAAGTTTATTAGGCAAACAGCTCGAAGCCTAGTCGATACCGTAGTGCGGATTATCAAAAATAGTCCAGTGAAACTAACTCGCAAATTTATTTGGTAAGCACCTCCAATGAGAGTAGTCACTGCTGTCGGGTGGATTAACGGATATAGTCTGACGAAATTAACTTCCCAGCTTTATTTAGTAAAACTTAGAACGAGAGTAATCTTCAACTGATCTTGGTAAGTTAATTTCACCAGACTAGATCCTCTAATCCCTCCGACTGCATCGATTACTCCTGTTCGAGGCGTCTGCTAAATAAACCTGCGAAGTAAATGTTAATAGACGTCCTTTATCCTTTAATCTACCCACTATTATTAACTTCTCTAGCTCGAGGTTCGAGGTGTCTTCCAAACTCGCGTTTCAATTTCACTAGGCTATATTCTCAGATAAGCTCCTGGTGAAATTCTCAAGCTTATTTGCTAAGCACCTTCACGGGGGTAGTCGCTATCATCGAAAGGGTTAAAGGATATAGTCTGGTGAAACTAACTCCTTGATTTGGCAAGTACGCCAGAGAGTACTTGCTATATAGGTGGATTACTTTACATATTCTGGTAAGATTATTATCAGAAGTTTATTCAGCTAATACCCCAAACGGGAGTAGTCGAATTTATGGGACGGTTAAAGGATATAGTCTGGTAAAATTAACTTTACTGTGACTTTGAAGTTGAGTCTTTAATTTTCAGATAATGATTGTAGAAGGAAGATAAACCAAAATATGTGTGTAAAAATAAAAAAAAATTAAAAAAAAATTTACCTTGTTTTATAAAGTATCCTCCCGACAAGTATTTCAGTGCGGACCTGTATTTGATCGTGAAGTCTTGGAGCACCGGCATGCCGTCCATATGTGAGGTCTTAAGTCACCTGATTCACGAACCCGTTGTACTACATTAACAAAGGCACGAGGGGTTGGTTGCACTCGATTGGGAAACCGATCCGCATAAACATGTGCCATTTTTTATTTCGTTTGAGCCACGCAACAGACATCACTATTCACTACCGACTGACACTGACTGTATACAACTGAATGAAATAATTGTAAAAACATCGTTCCAAATTCTTTCGCTTTTTTGTTTCCGATGCGATGAACCGATAAGGCGGATTATATCCGTTGTCGCCAAACACGAGCACATAATATTATTATTGAGACAGGGTACTCAAACTTACAAAGGGCTATAACTTTGTTACTTTAATTTTACCAGAAAAATGGTAAAGGAAAAAAAACGTTTCTTTTGATCAGATCTACTCACTGTTAAAATAAATGACTCAACTTCGAAGTCACCCTGTATTTGACAGACACCTCAGCAGAAGCAGTAGCTATTATTAATGGTTTAACGGATATAGCCTAGTGAAATTTCGCAGGTTTATCCAGCGAATATCTCAAACGGGAGCAGTCTAAGTCATCGGACAGTTTGAGCTCTGTTGAAATTAACTTCGCAGACTTATTTACTTGTGATGTTAATTTCATCGGACTCAATCCTTTAATCCACACGACAACACCGACTACTCGCGTTCAATGTGTTTCCAAATAAACTTGCGAAATTCATTTCGTATGCAATGTTTATTTGGCAAAATGCGTCGAACACAGTAATCGGGTGGATTATAGGATACAGTTTGGTGAAATTAGCTTATTTAGCAAACACTGGAAAAGGATAACTACATATAGGTAGGTATAACTTTAAAGTAGTAGGAAATGTAAACAATTCTGAATGGCACCATTGGTTCTCTGCAATCCGTGCACCGTAGTCTATTCGTCATTGACCGTCAAAGCGGCACGGGTATTACGTATCTTGAAAAGTGATATTATGTGTATTTTTTTGACATTGTATTGGTTTTTTGTGACATTATGTAGGCTTTTCTACAAGGTGTTAGCTTAATACTAGCTGATGGACACGTTGTGAACTTCGTAGCTGTACGTGTTGCTTAAACGTCAGCGAACAGAGATCATAGCGAGCAAACGTGGAATGATTTTTTTATTTTTTAGTACACTAAAAACTACCTGGTCTACAAGTTGACATTTCGTCGTTTTTTTTGCGATTTTTAGGTTTTTTACATAATACGACCCCTGTCAGAGACGGCGGTCTGACGAAATGGCATTCCCGTCTCATATCCACGATTCTACCTGTATTCATTAATTTCACTGATAATTTTGTATTAATTTCAAGGGCTAACTTGAATTTTTGGATATGGTTCTGACTAATCGTAACGGGACGATGCATCTTCAGCAAAATGTTTTACAACACGCACCGAAACGCCGTCCAGTTTGGTCCAGTCCATATCCCACCCACAAAAACAAATTGTTTCCTCTTGCCGCTAAGCGGCCCCACTAAAGAAGATTCCTGCTGGCCACATGATTTTAGAACAAGACTGAGTCTGCCTACTTGACGACCCCAAACAGTACGCGTATTTTTTGAATGCCGTCTCCAGACTCACGCGCGAAGCCGCGAACTACCCCCGATCCATGAGTGTGGATCCCATTCGCGTATTCTTCGCGGCTTCACGTCGCGTTCGCGCGTTGTTTCCGTTTGTTGTCGGTTTTTTGTCCCGCGACAAAGGATTCGCAAGGCGCGAACATGACTACTGTAGGCTCCACATTCGCTGGTGGCTGGTGGTTCAGTTGCCTCATAGCGAGTGTCGGGAGTGGTTGTGTTTTTTCCACTTATTTTCAATTGTTTTACTTATATATGCGTAATTATAAATTACTCGTCGTCAAGACCGCGAACTATACTGTGAAGCAGGCGCGACCATCTGCGAGTGTGAAACTGTAGGAAGAAATTTCGGGATTCGCACCGCGATTTCACGCCGTGATTCGCGCGCGAGTCTGGAGAGGGTATTAACGTTTGACAAGAACGAAGAAGGGAATGTCAAATTAACGACTGAACCTAACCTCAAATTTTGTTTTGACTTTAACCGGTTGATGTTTGGAATACTTTTTAAATGAACTCAAAAAGGTTATTAAAAGAAGACTTGGATAGAGACTGTAAAGAATTGGCCGTGTATTTACTAGGCAAAGTTTTAGTGCGGAAGTTAGAAGATGACACGGTATTGCAAGGAAGGATAGTAGAAACGGAAAGCTACTTGGGTACTGAGGATAAAGCATCACATTCTTATAATAACAGGTATAGCACAACAGGATGTATGAGGATATCTCACGAGTTTCATCCTGATTCATCATTTTTTTTTTACCTAGACGATCTGCAGCAAATGAGCCAATGTATATGGAAGTGGGTACCTGTTATGTGTACATGACCTATGGAATGTTCTTTTGTATGAACATATCAAGTAGAGAGCCTGGCGCCGCCGTACTGATAAGAGCTTTGGAACCACTTTCTGGGATAGATACCATGGAAAAGCTGAGAGGTAAACACCTAGTCCTATCAATTTCATTTATTATTCTAAACAACTTTGTAAAAGTCATCATTAAGCACATAGCCATGTAGAGGCAGGTGACAAAATTAGCATGACTGATATTTGCTTTTTCACAAGTAGTGCAAAAAAAATGCTTCCAAGCACATCTATAAACATTAGTTTTGTTCCAACTCTGAGTTTTCTGGTGCTGTTCCAGGACCATTCAATAATAATTTGAATTGCTTTTAGAAGCATATATGCCAATTTCACTGGTCTAGAATGATACCAAAACTGGTTGGAAGAAAGTGCAGATTCATCCTGTTACAGTAATGAACATTGTTGGAACCCTTTTTCCTAAATGTGCAAGTGCATTATCATTCCAGAATGGTTCTTTGATCAGTTGAAACAAAAGTATTGACTCATGTAGACATAATAGAAATGTATATTTTGGCAAACAAAAAAGAGATAATAAAACTATACTTCAAGCAACGTTCTCACGAGTCGATTTAAGTTGATCAGCTTAAATCGAAACGAATATTTGTTCGCACACATAATAAAAATTGATGCGCTAGTTGTTTCTAAAATGGCTGCCAACGAAGTTGTCAAAGCATGCATAGCAGCTATTTACGAATTATTAAATGAAGAAATCAGAGACATTTTGTCAAAATTTTACAGAAAATCTAGAAAACGTCGGTTTTGGGTCACGAAATAAATTGGTCTTTCAGGAACCCTGCTCAAGGAGCCTGGCTTTAGAGGACAAGGATGCCTACAAAAATAATTTGAGAATGTCCGAAGAACAATTACAAGGACTTCTAAAGATAAAAAGCAAAATACAAAAACAAGATACCCTTATGAAAAAATCTACTTTCTCCATTTCTTTTGCGATGATAGTTAAAGCATTGTCTCAAGCATCCTTGTTTCTAAAACTCTAAAAAAACTTCTAAAAAATGTAGCACAATACTTTCAGACCACTTCATGCACATTTTTTGTCTTTTTTTCCACACACAACAAACACACGAGCCACAAAATCAACTTTATTCAATGCGAAACTCGACTGACTACAGTTCACACGCTTCAAATCCGTTTCAACTTGTCTGATAATCGCCTATGACGCATTAAATTGATCGATAATTTTGAATGAATCAAACTTTTTCGGTACAACTAAAATCGAAAACACGCTTCACAAGTATATTTTTGTTCGACTTTTGTTGATCAAAAAAAATCGTTCTACTAAAATCGACTCGTGAGACCGCTGCTTTAGCTTATTTCATATTCTCATACGGAAAAGGGTGATAACTTTCTTTCCTGTCCTGACCAATCTATTAAGTCTTCATTGTCCTATTTACCTGTTAATTCAACTTACACTGCTATTAGCATAAGCCTCCACTAATATATTTATGCTGTCATATTTTTATCCACCTTCAGTCTGATGCATCACTACACCTACTAGCCTTGCCTCATCAAATATTTCAACTGAAAAACTTTCCTTTTTACTATGCAGCCATATATTTCTTATTTGATTTTTGTAGTTTTTACCTTTTGTTGTCAACTGAATTTAATTTTTATATTTGGTATCATATAAGATATCTCAAAAATTTGGTGTAAGGCAGAAATCTTTACATCACATCTATAATTTTCTGTTTTCAGTTAAGAAGCTAAAAGGTACAAAGTCTTCACTGAAGATCAAAGACCTTTGTAATGGCCCTGCTAAATTATGCAATGCAATGAACATTACAAAGGAGGCTCTAAACAAGGTCAATATTGCAGACCTGCAGAATGAACAAATATGGTTGGAGGATGATCCAAACTATAATAAAGAAGATAAAAAAATAGTGCAAACAAGTAGAATTGGAATTGCTTCTGCTGGAGCAGAATGGGCTGCCAAACCCTTGCGATATTATATTTTAAATAATGAGTGTGTAAGCAAAAGGGACAAGACTGCTGAAAGAAATCTGGATGTTTGATCAAAAGTTTGCATTTGCATATATGAAGAATTGACTGTGTAATTGTGGAGTAGCTCAAGATCAAAGAGCATACACAATGATAAGATGTACTTAGCTTGTCTTGTACAGAATAGGTGTCCTGGTCAAGGAAATATAACGACAATTTTCCAATCCAAAACATTTTGGATGTGTTGAAGTATATATAAAATATATAAAATCCAGGCCTGTATATGAACCCAGATTTTTATGAGAAACTCAGATTTTAAAATCAATTCTATGACTACAAAATCATGTGAAAAACCTTCTATGACTGTCAATTAACTAGGTTCTGGATATTTGCGCGGCAACCGATTGGTATTGATTATTAGAAATAAAAGTCGGAATTGTATCACATTTAGTCTTATTATAAATAACAACCTTAAAAATATAAAATAAAACAACACGTAAAAAAGTCTAGGTTGGCGCTGGCGGGGCTGCATGTATGGACCGCCGCCTTAGAAATATCCTGCCTCCAGATGGAAACTGTCTTGCTAGTAAAATCAATGATGATGCTAACGCCAGTCGGACGGAGGTACTTTGATCTCCTGGTAAACTTACAAACACTGTTGCTACAGCTGCCAACGCATCACCTGGAAGAATCAAAACATCAATGTTCACTATTTTAGTACTTATCTACAGAAGATCATTCAGGCCGGTCTCAGCACAAACCGGGAGACAACAAGGAAGATTTTTCTCAGCGTGCCGTTTTGAAAAAATTCCCCCTCGCTACTGGGCACATGCACCACATCCCACCTACCCACACATCAATCAGTCGTTTGACATTGCAGATTCTGGCACACATCAGTATTCCAACGTCTCCCATTGTGGTACCACAGAGTATGCTCTCCAAATAACCCCAAGCCCTATTTCATTTTTGCTTTATGTAAAGGAGTTACCTAATGTAGTACCTGATGCACTGATAACTTCATTCGCAGATGATATCTAAATCGTAGCTTGTAGTTTTTCAGAGGAACAATTACAAGATAGTATAGATGTTTCATTTCTAAGCTACATAAATGGTTTCATATAAGAATTTATATTTAAATCTAAACAAGACGCAATGCATTTCACAAGGCAAAAATTTGCAACAAACTCAGTTTCAAATTAAATAATAATATCAATATGTGAAATATATAAAATTGTTTGGTGTGTATTTGGATTCCTGTATGGAGTTGAAGCACCACAGTGAATATGTAATAACAAGTCTCAATTCATTATATTATTCTGGGTGGGCCATCTATTACTTTTTTTACGTATAAGTTTATGTGTTACCATGTGAGTCAAAAATCATGTATGCATAAATGAACTGTCAAAGGTATGCCATTTATAGTCATGGATTCGTTTACAACACAACAACGCATTTTGGTTATCCAAACTTATTACGAAAACGGTCGAGATATAAAAAATACTTTTCGCAAACTTCGCACTAGTTTTGGCCGACATGGACGCCCTACAGAGCCTGGAATCCGTGAGGAAACTGGTTCAGCTGAAGGTCGTAGATCATACCAACATGGTCGTCCAGCTCGTACTCGTGAAAACATAGCCGCAGTGAGTGAAAGTGTGCGAGAAGATCCAACCACCTCGACCAGGCACCGTTCGCAACAATTGGGAATTAGTGAGACCACTTTACGCCGGATTTTACACATTGATTTACACCTCCATCCATACAAAATCCAACTAACACAAGAATTGAAGCCGGCAGACCATCAACAGCGGCGTGTTTTTGTTAATTAGATGCTGGAAAGAGAAGACGGATTTTCGTCCAAAGTGCTCTTTTCTGATGAGGCTCATTTTCACCTCAATGGGTACGAAATAAGCAAAATTGCAGATTATGGGGGGCTGAAAATCCACACCAATATCATGAACAACCTCTCCATCCTGAAAAAGTGACTGTTTGGTGCGGATTATGGGCTGGTGGCATCGTTGGACCATTCTTCTTTGAATATGCCGAAGAAAAGGCCATTACCGTCAACGGGGAACGTTATCGCGGCATGTTAACAGACTTTTTGTGGCCACAATTGGATCGTATTGGTGCCGACGATCTTTGGTTTCATCAAAACGGAGCAACGGCTCACACATCTCGCCAAACAATCGCCTTATTGCACACGAAATTTCAAGACCGCATAATTCCACGAAATTCAGATGTCAGTTGGCCCCCGAGATCGTGCGATTTAACACCCCTTGACTATTTTCTTTGGGGATTTTTGAAAGGAAAAGTGTATTCGAATTGGCCCCGGACCATTCAAGACCTAAAGCGCAATATTCGGACTGAAATTGCGGCCATAGATCCGATTATTCTGGGAAAAGTCATTTAAAATTTTGATGTTCGGCTGTTAGCCTGTAAACGAAGCCGCGGTGTTCACATAACTGATGTTATTTTTCATACATAAATGGCATAAACCAACCTTCATTTATCAATGAAAAAGTTCGATTTCACCTCGTAAAAAGCGTGTTGATTTTTCAAATAGAAAAAAAGTATTAGATGACGCACCCTGTATATTATTCAATTTAAGAGATATTCCACCATTAAATTACTTAATTACTTTGTGTCATGCACAGGTTGACTCTGTCATAAGATATGGCATATCGTTTTGGGGGATCTCTACTAATTCAAAAATCTGTTCATGAAAGAGAAAAGAAATATCAGATGTATAGCAGGTGTTAGCGTTAGAACATCATGTAGAGATCTGTTTAAGAGATTCAGATACTAACACTTACTGGTTTATATGATATATTTGAAACTTGTTTATACATACTTAAAAATTCCAAACACGCATCAATTAATTTGAGGTTAGTGAAGACTTTTATACCACCTTATAGAACTCAAGTTATTTGTCCCTAATATTAATGGCCTAAAAATGTTTAACCTGCTTCCTTTGGAAATAAAGAATTACCACAGTCTAAAGATATTTAAGAATCTTAAAAGACAATTTAATTGAAAATGGCTTTTGATAGTGTGGACGAATATTTTGATATATGCCCTTATATCTTATTTTTTTATTATTTGACTGTTTTTTGATAGATGTAGGTTTTTTATCAGATTTGAAAATGTAAGACAATTCCTATACAATGTAATTTTAAGTCGAGAGGAAATAAATCATTAACGAGAGAAAAAAGATAAATTTAATAAAACACAGATTTATGCAAATATGTAATGGTTGCAAACGGGTAAAATATCACTAGTTTTTGTGAAAAATCCTGGCACACCTGGCAACCCTGATCAGCTTATCGCATCGATGATGGCGTAGAGATCCGCCGTTTTCTTGCTGTTCTTGCCAGAGACGGAGTAACCATAAACGAAATATGTTGCTAATGATTTTTACGCCTTTGTATAATAATAACCTAAAAATAATATTTTGGAAATTGGGACGTGCCTCGATAAAGTTAACTGTTCCATTTACATCAAGTTGTGCTGCCTGCGGTTGTTTCAAAAAATTTATTCATGTTTAATTTCGATATCAACCGTTTTTAAGAAAAAATACCCGTGGTTTTTCAGATCGCTGATGACCGATCTGTTATCAGAATTGCCGGTATTCGGAATCGGTTCCATAATTTATAAAACGGTACCAAAATAATATGACGGTTTCACTCCACTACCCCAGAACCGTTCATTATATCGGAATCAAACAATTCTAATAAATACATTTTGTCCCCCGTATTTTGGAAACACCGTGTATTTAAAACAACAGTCGTTGCAACGTATGCTTTTTATGATTTTATAGGGCAAAAGTGATAAAAATAGTGTTTGTCATGTTCAATCTACTTATGACGTACTTTTGCCGTAATTCGCGCAGAGTAGTTACGAATTAAACGAATCTTACCGGTGGGTTCGACAGCAACCGGCCTCAACTCCCATCCTCCGGTTCTCTTCTTGGTATTAGATGGAGTGCCCACGACACCCAAACTCACTGTGACCCTGGCGAAGGGCCGTTTCGCCATGTGCAGCATTTCCACTACGTGCCGACGACGAGCGCGTCGCACATCGGCTGCTTGTTTCGCTTTCCACGCTACCACGCATGCCGCCAAGAATAGGAAGAAACACGAGAAAAATACCTAGAAAAACAAAAGATAGAAATGCTACAAATCTAATATCTAGGGTCAAAATATCATAACTCAAAACTCAGACACGATCTACCGAAAGAGAAACTAAAGGCAAGCCACGCCCGGCGGAGAACATGTAAATTCCCCTATTACAACGATGAACGAGGTTTTCGTGCTCAGCAGCAGGCGCATGGGTATTACGTATCTTGAAAAGTGACATTATGTAGATTTTTTTAACATTGTATTGTTTTTTTGTGACATTATCTAGGTTTTCCTACAAGATGTTAACTTAGCACTGGCTCATGGTCACTTGTTGTGAACTCGTTTTGTTGTACGTGTTGCATAACGTCGTGATGCTTTAGTTATCAATGTTTGGCTCTGATGTGATGTAAAATCTGTAAGAAGCTGTAAGTTGTATACTATAGCTGGAAGGAAACGGCAATGCATAGATGCATAGTAAGGATTTGTGTGCTAATAACATGTGTTGATCATAATTCCATTGGATTCTTGTCTCAAATACACTTACTTGAGATTCAAAGCTAGAAATTAGTTGCGCGTTCACTTTTTCTTATTGATTCTGGAAATTACATACGCAAATTTGCTGAATTTCAAAAATGAGAAAGATAAGAATACAAAATTCCTTGTTGGTGAAGAAACAGGTGAGAAAATATGCTACAGACAGGAATATTTATGAAAGTAAAAAGGTTATTACATTATTTTTTATTTCCAGTCATTTAAAATTTTATCGAAATTTATTTTGCGATGTCAATAGAAAATACAAATCAGCGCCTAGATGTGAGGCATTGCGAAAATGTGTAAGATGCGTCATTACTAATTTTTCTGTGATGTGGCTTAATTGCACACAACGCGGACGCGGTGGTGATTTCTCGTAGTGCTTCTCAAAGGTTTTGGAAACACAAAAAAAAATCGTAATTTATAACTTGAACATAACCTGTCTTCAGAAAGGACAACATATAAATAACCCGTCGGGCACAGCTAATAGATATACTTCATTGGCAGCATATTCAGTAATGATTTTCTCACACAGCAAATATCACTGATTTTAATACACATGCAGACCAATACACATAATCATCCAGATGCGATCTTGCTATTCAACCAACTTTCTTTGTTCCACATCTTCTCTGAGATGAAACCTACAGACTACTCGGCTTCATCACAAAACATACGCAACCAACAATGCGTGTAGTTGAGTAATTTCTCCATAGATGGACGCACACCTGTCACAGCGAGCAAACGTGAACAACTATTTGCACCCTAAAAACTACGTAGTCTGCAAGACGACCTTTTTTTACTTTTTATAGGTTTTTTAAATAATACCCGTGCCGTGCCGATGTTGCGGCGAACCCTGTCAGTGGCTGCAGATATTGTTTGCAATCGTAAAAATTATAATATTCAGATACTATCTAGTATAGTTTGTGTGAACCAATAATAAAAAGGAGTATGTTTATCCAAAAAAAGCAACGTAGTACTGACGACTATTTATGGAAAAGATTTAAAATAAATTTGTATTGGTGGAGATATTTACAATAAACGGAAAAATATTTACTTTAATCATGCATTCTTCACTGCTGCGATAATAATCCGTTGCATTTTCACTGTAAATACTGTAAAACACACCAGGCAAACGCAACATTTACTGAATCACAAGAATTTCGGTGTCTGTTACGGAAAAAAAACTAGAGCAAACCACCAGCAAAGTTTTGCACATTGAAAATGTGATGGAGAGTATCACAGCAGCGAAGAATTCCTGAGAAAAGTAAATATTTTTCCGTTTAATTCCACCAGTACATTTACATTCAGTATTTACATCATACACCATATGGCTTGAATTTACTAGTTCTAAGTTGTTTACAATTATTCTGTTTATGTAGCCAAATGTGCTAAATAAATCTTTCTACTACTACTACTACAAATTTATTTTGGCCCGGCGGCATCACTGGTCCATTTTTCTTCAAAAATCAGCATGGACTTGCGGTTCCAGTCAATGGCGAGCGTTACTAATCTACAGTAATTGACAAAAGTCTATAGACAAATATGAATATTTACCTAAATACCTTTAGAAAACGAAAGCATATTTCGTTGCTCCATAAACAAATGCGTTATTAGTAGAAAAACTAAATTCCTTGTTTTTACATTATCTGCAATGAACACAATATAAGTCTGAATATAAGCACTTTTTTATGAGGGACAAAAATATGTAGACAAATTCTTTTCAACATTAGTTTAGTACCGTTTCGTGTCAGAAGAGGATTAGTTTGTGTTCATCGAGTATTGTGGAATAAGTTCAGTGATTTTAAGACCATGTCGCGTGGTCCATAAATTTATTTCGACGTGAAAACTAAGATCATTGAGTTATACTAAGATGGTCAACGTCAAGTCGACATTGCCAAAAATTTTAAGCTGAAGCGTAAAGCAGTTTGGGCAATATTGAACAAATATAAACAAAAAGGTATCTTGGAAGCCTCTAAGAGAAGTGGTCGGCCGTCGGCCTAGAAAACTAAATGCTAGATCAGTTAGATTAATAAAAGTAATTTCGTCCAAAGATCCATTTAAAACCCCAAGACAAATAAAAGCCGAAATCGAGACAAAAGGAATTGACAGTGTTTCTACGAAAACTATAAGTAGAAGATTAAATGATTTGCACGTCGCCCGAGTAAGAAGCCGCTAATCTCGAGGAAAAACCGTAAGGACCGATTACAATTTACACGTTTGCATCTTGATAAGTTTGTATACACAGACATACTAAAGCATGTCATGTTACCCTATATGAAAGGCAATATGCCATTAAGATCAATCTTCCAGCAAGGTAATGACCCGAAGCACACTTCAAATCTCGCAAGGAAATTCTTTCTGGATGAAAAAATACCAGTTCTCAAATGGCCTTCACAGTCTCCCGATATAAACCCCATTGAAAATCTATAGGAGTACTTAGATAAGCAAATACGAGATAAAAATTATTCAAACAAGGATGAACTTTTTGCCGCTTTAGAGCAAAAGTGGAGACAGATTGGTGAATCTTATATCAAGAAACTTCTACAATCTATGCCGAGACGATGCCAGGCGGTGATTGATAATAAAGGTTATGCTACAAAATATTAACACAAACATGATTGGTTTTCTATAATTCAATGAACTTTGCTTCTTTTTTCTATAATTGTTTTGCTTTGTCTATATATTTTTGTCCTTCATAGTTCCAGTTTTTTCAATTAATTTTTTATTGAAGGGAGTCTAATGAATTTATTTATGTTTAAGTGAGTATTATGCTATAACGGATTATGTATACAGGCTGGTGTATTAATATAACAAGTTAAAAAAGAGATATTGATTTGTCTATATACTTTTGTCCATTACTGTATGCTCAACAAACTTCTGTTTCCAAAAATGATATGGGCGACATTTGGTTTCAAGAGAGAGCAGTGCGCAACTTGCCACACAACCAACGTAATAATCGAACTCGGACAGCTTTCGAGAGCCGAATAATCAGCCCAAATTCTGATATCAACTGGTCGCTCAAAGCTGCGATTTGCTAACCATCCAGAGACAATTCAGGCCTTGAAACAATAAAATGAAAAATTCGAAAGATGTCCATTAGTTTCTTTTTTACAGCCAGTTCAAATTCCAGATTTTATATCTATATATATACGTTTAAAAAACTCACCGAAAAGAAGACAAACAGATCTATGTGTAGTTGATCTTGGCGGGAGTAGACAATACCATAAGCTACCTTTTTGTCTGTATCAATTGGATCGAGGGCTTGCAGGACTAGAAAGAATCGCGTCGTCTCCAAGCTGTGGTACTCCTGAAATTAGATCAAATAAATTGCTTTTTAAGATTATGGCACATGTTCATTTTGCCTAATAGGCGGAAAAATTACCCCGCACAAACCTTATGGCTAATGGCTTTCGGCTATTTAATTCAGTATATTGTAGGTCATAGCATGTTGAGCTTTTCATTAGATTGTGGTACTATTTTAACAATATCATCAACAAAAATTCCCCCGCGCTCGTTGTAGAACTTTGTATTCAACAATATTTTCTGTAAATGGAACTAGAAATTATTGGGAATTAACAGGCATTACGAGAACTAGCTAGAGTCTCCATAATAATTGCAGCTTGACTGCCGGGTCAGTTGACGCACATGCATAGAAATTTTACAGTGATGCCACAATAGCCAGACACAAATCTCCCGAGATTTATTATCCTGTGAAGCATTCCGAATAAAATAATAGATAGATAAATAGATAGATACATTTATTGTCTTGTAGATCATAAAAAATGACATAAGACTCGTCCTAAGAGGGAGGTACATAGTACACATAATTAAAAATAAAAACGAAACAAACATAAGTATTTACAAAATACAAACAGGGACAACTTAAGGCGTACAGACATTCACATATAAAAAAAGTTTAAAAAATATATCACAGTGCGAGGTATTCAGACAAAGAGTAGAAACATTTTTCAACTAATAATTTTCGTAGTTTACATTTAAAACTAGCAATACTACTGACATTCCTGAGATTAGCTGAAAGTTTGTTATATATTCTGATGCAGGTGTATTCCGGTGACTTTTCGAACAGCGTCAGTGTGTGTTTTGGAATACTCAGACTCTCACCTGCCCTTGTATTATAATGTGTGTTGATGTTTTTGTTCTGTATAAATTTTGTTTTGTTTGTATGTGTGAAAAGGGCGCACTTATAAATATGAATGCTTGGTAGAGTCATGAAGATATATCTGCAGGATTCTCTTCTACGAATGTTGAATATCAATCTGATTATTCTCTTCTGTTGAACAAATGCTCTAGAAATTGAAGTTGCTTGTTCCCAAATTATGATGTTCCTGGATAAATGTGAATGGACGAGAGCATAATATACATCTAGTAAAGCTGACTCTGATAAGCAAAACTTGAGCTTAAGAATCGCATAATATGATTGGTTCAACTTTTTACACACACTGTCCATGTGTTGTTGCCAACTGAGCTTTGCATCCATTTCTATTCCCAACAATGTCGTAGTTTTCGATGTCTCATGATTTGCTAAAATAGGGGCGCTTGTATAAAAATGTACAACATCTGACTTTTCGAGGTTTAAAATCAAACGATTTGCTTGGCACCACCCTTTCATTTCACCTTTTACTCCATTTATTTTTGCAATAATGTCATTGCGTGTAGTTCCACTTACAAGAACTGACGTATCATCCGCATAATTTGTTACAAATCCAGAGATGCAAATCACTTATATATAGAATGAACAAAAGGGGTGCTAAAACTGAGCCTTGCGCTGCTCCAATGTCAGACAGGAAAGATCTAATATAAAACCTCTTAAACCTAAATAAAATAATTTTTCCTCGAGAAGTCCAATGTCAATTGTATCGAAAGCTTTCGATAGGTCAAAAAAGATGCCCGCGATACATTTATTCATATCGAGCTGTTTATATATTTGAGATACAAACTCATAAGTAGCTGTCTATATTGAATGAAGTTTCCTAAATCCATGCTGCCAGCTTGGGATAAGGTTGAATAGGAATGAATAGGTGACAGTTTGGTAATATTCTTGCTGCAAATAATGGTGACTATGAAATCAGGGCACATGCTAATAATGCTGAAATATTTAAAACCACCTAGCGTCGGTCATATTTGTGCAGTAACGTCACTTCACTCCGCTCAGCCTTACTGATGCTTACCTCAGGCAAAGTGATCACCAGCCTATCTTGCAGATGCTTAACGAACAGAATTGTCTTCGGCTGCGTGATAGTGATGTACGTCCTCAATCCAACTGCCTCTCGCTCCATGTACACATCCTTTGATTTCAACGTACCGTTCTCCCATCGGCCGTGCTGCGCGTCCACGTCTACGTCGACGGCACCGGTGGTACTGTTCGGATACGCGACGTACGTGTCGTCGTGCGTACTCATGAACACATTCAGTCTGCCCTGCGTCACGTCGATTATGATGCGGATGTCGACGTTCATGAAGCGCGGCTGGATGACGAAGAACACCACTTCGCCAGGGTGGAGGGGTTTCGGCTTCATTTTGCACTCATCTAAGACAAAAGGCAGCAGTTAAAAAGTATAGAAATAAAAAATCGTTAGGAATCGGAATGGATCTACCTCGAACCGTGGCCCTTCTACTTGACAAATGCCGTATTTTGTTGTTGTTGAAGATTTATTTAGCATTAATGCTACAATGTCAATGTTGTATAATGATTCGGTTACATATTTTTCTTCAATCCATTTTCTGTAATTTTACATTAGTGTCTATTAAAATTAAAATTACGTCACTATGTATTTTAATTTCACCTTAAACATTTTTAAATTCGAACTTTGTTTAATATCAGTATTCAGTTCATTAAATTCAAATACTCCCTTTTGAAATATAGATTTACTAGTTATGCTACTATTACAATTTTCCAGATGAAAATCTATACTGCCGCTAGTTTCGTAGTTATGATAATGACTATTTAATTTTGTGAAGTTCTCTAAATGTGGTGGTAATACATGATTTTTTAATTTGAATATGACAACGAGAATTAAATAATATATTAAATTTTTCATATCCAACCACTGCAGCTCTTCTAACACTTAATCATAGTATATTTGTTTTTATTTAAAATGATTCTAATAGCTTTATTTTGCAGAATTTGTAATTTTGAAAATGTTTTCATTTGCTGTAAACAAGATGGTTGAACAATACAACAAATGGGGAAGAATTATAGTGTTATACACAATTTTAATGGAATACATACTAAGATTATGGGAAACTCTATAGAAGTAATTTATCTTTTTCGATATTTTTGAAATAATGTATTCATAATGTTCGTGAAACAGTAGCTTACTATCCACATATATACCAAGATATTTAAATGACTCGACTACTTCAATTTTTTCATCATTAATCATAAGCCTAATTGCATTGCCACATAAATGTTTTCCTATTGACATACATTTTGTTTTATTAGTGTTTAATTTAGGTTTATTGACATTTAACCAATTCATAATTTTTTCAATATCTCTATTTAACAGTTCTAAAGCAGTGTCCAAATGCTTATGTGCTATATATATATATATATAGGGTGTCCGCAAAGTTGGGTTTTCCTTTACACAACGTGTAGATCTTGAAAACATAAGCAATTTGTCTTAGTACCGAGATAAAGGGCTCTGCAACATCAAAAATATCTGAATACCGTCCTGTAGCCGCGACCCGCGACATCACCGAGTGGTACAAGGACACTGGCTCAACCCGACGACAGAACTTGGTCGGGGTCAGTGTGTCAGGTCAGTATGCAACCTTCAACCGACGGTTACGGTCACGCGTGTAGAGGTAATCGCGTAGACGAGAATCCCTCAACAAGCACTAGAGACGTGGCTAGAGAAGTGCAAGTATCAAAAACTAAAGTGTGGCAAACGCTGCGTGAAGAGGGGCTGTATCCGTTTCACGTCCAACGTGTACAAGCCCTTCAACCTGACGATTTTCCAGCAAGAGTGCGGTTTTGTGAGTGGTTGTTGCATCAACATGACAATAATCCGGATATTTTGAAGTGCATATTGGTGACAGACGAATCTACGTTCACGCATAATGGGGTGAATAACTTTCGCAACACTCATGTTTGGTCAGTAGAAAATCCGCACGCTGTCCGTCGGGCACATTTTCAACAAACATTTTCAGCATCAGCTGATTTCATTTTCTGTTGGAGCGGTATGATTACGGGCAGAGACGTACTTAGCCCTTCTCGTCAACTGGAGAGTGAGTACTTTTTCCTTTATTTTTTTTTACTTGGTCGCCCTCGTTTCACTACACATTACCTTTGTTATTTCAAGGGTAGTTGTTTCTGAAAAGGAAAACCCCAACTTTGCAGGCACCCTGTATATAAGTGTATCGTCCGTAAATATTTGAATGTTGCAGTGTTCTAAAATGTCAGAGATATCATTTATATAAATAGTAACGGCCCTAATATACTCCCCTGTGGCACCCCTACTGATATATTTTGAACACTTGACGTTATATTTCCAACTTTAGTGTTTTGACTTTATTTACTAAATAATTTTGTAAAATGTGTAATACTGATCCCTTAAAGCCATAGTGACGCAATTTAATCAACAATTTTTCCTATCTATAGTCTCAAATGCCCTTTTGAAGTCTAAAAATATTGTTACAATATATTCTTTCTCATCTATACTTCTTCTCCAGTCTTCCACCACCATTTGGATTGCCGTTTCTGTGGAACATTTTTTTCTAAATCCAACTTTTTATCAAAATTTTGGTTTCTCCAATGAATTCTATGATCTGTTCGTATCTCTGCCTAATGGTAAGATCTTATAAAAATGGGGACTACAGTAACCAATAAATTGCAAAATTGGTTCTATTATTTTTGTAAGGAATCATATTCCTTGGCGTTTCCTAGAATCAGGGGCAGATTTAGATGAGGCCAACTCTCCCCCTTAGGTGCCCAAGTCTGCAATTTTTCCACGAAAATGGTACCTATATACTGCTGTATTTTAGTGTAAATTACTTTGTTAGGCCTGAATCTGGATACGTGTGCCACCTCCCCACTCATCAATTGTCACAAGAGCACTATCAGAAGCGCTGCTCAAGTTCTTAGGCATACAGCCACCCACCCCTTCCACCGCTGTTCTAATTTTAAATCGTAAAATAGTTCTTTGAATTGATTCAACATCTGGTATAATTTTTGCATCACAACAATATGGAGATGAGTCAGCGAAATACCATAGTACTTCATATCTACAATCCTCTTGATAAACAAAAACCGGTGTTTTGAAAGAAAAATAGAATGTTTTTTTGGTCAGGGAAACTAAATGAAACACTAGGCACTTTTCAAATTTCAGTATGTTTTTAATTCATTTTTGTGTTGTCTAAATGCTTGTATTTGTCATTTACTTTTTTGTTTATTGATTTTGTGTATTTTTTATGTTCCTATCATTAGTTTTATATTATTAATAAATATTATCACTATTGTACTTTTTACTTCTACAAACACGATGTGTATACTTCAGAATAGAATTGGAACAGAAAAGTTGGAGAAATTACTGTATTAGTCAATAGGGTGACCTAAGAACCTGCCTGCTGTCTTGGAATGTAACCCTTATTTGACAATGAACATTAGGGTTAATTTAGGCAAGAGTGTCCTTTCTGATATTGGCAACTTGAGGCATATCAAGTTAACATATGGGCTGACAGCATTTTCGCCTGTCTAAATATTTTTAAATTAAAGTTTTTTGGTCAAAAATATTAACCATGTAATACCTACTTAAAGTGTCAGCTAGTCTATATCAAGAAACTATCTACATGTGTAGTAACGTACCCATAGGTTTAGCATCGAAACACATTTTGTTGTCAACATGCATCTGCTTATAACACTGGTGTCCTGAAGTGGGCGTACCAAGATATCCATCTTTGCACTTGCTGCATTGCACCTCCCAACATAGACGCGCCGAGTTCTTCTCTTGGGAAGCTTGACTGCCACTAGAAGACGATCCATCTCTGCATACATCACTTTCCGTATTGTTACGACAATCACACTGAAAGTATTAAGATAGTTAAGATATACAAAGAAGTTTTATGTCACTGTCACAATAATAATTATATCAAGCTTCACAGTAAAATTGCCTTTTATTTCATAATCATCGTAGTGTGAACCCATTTATCTAAGAAAGCAACTAAATCCAAATATATTCAGGCGTAGTTCACGCGGTTGGTCTTCAGAACGCCGTGCTAACACTGACGGCGGGTGAGGCTGCATGCACCGCTGTGTCGCCTCCCACTCCACCTTCCTGGTTTGGCATTAATCGTGTATATGGGATCGACCGATTTTGCGCAATAACAGTTACACTCCCCGTTTCTTGAAATATATCAACGTGCTGATCACACACTGAACACGCGCTGGTTATTGTTTTGGTTTAATGTCTTTCCTGAATAAACAGACTGTAGGCACCACCACAAATATAAATCATCTCTCGAAAGGCAATCCAAAGAAGCTCTCAAAATAAAAGATGAAACGTATAGAAGTGTTTGGCAAATAACGATTCTGTCACCCTCAAAAAAAGGCTGTCATAAAAAATATAATGCAGCAGCCAGTATCCTCCGATACTATGTTATATTGTAGATTTTATACAAAACACATTAGTAAACTGTTTTTGTCCATTATATTAGGTATCAGTATTGGTTACCTTATCACCATGTACTGGGTCGCAAGTATCACCATGTCCATGACATTCACAAGCTCTGCAAGGATGTCTATGATCTTCACTACCTCTGAAGTTACCCACAATACATTCATCGCACCTAGCGCCCGAAGTGAGGTTAGCACATCTTAAACACCTAAAATGGGAAAACTGTTTGAACCTGGCTGCCTCGTCACAAAATTCCTTATAAAAAATTGACCACTCCTTAAAAACCGATACATTTTCAATCGCGGAAATGATTCAATTAGGTCGAATACAAACAGAAGAGAACCTTAGAATCCCACAAATCACAACATCTGATACAAGGTGACTCATGAAATAAAAGTACCCGAACAACTCTTATAGGAGCTTTACAATTTTATACATTTTTTCGTTAACCCTTACCCTTTGAGAGAAAGTGAGACATTCAGCCCCCACATGTACCAATTCTCACCTTTATTGAATTTTTCCACAGATAAAATATTTTTTGTTGCATTTTGTCTGTACTAACATGTACGAATAATATTTCTCATCCTATCGAATATAATTAGTAAAGAATTATCAATTCTGATTCCAACTACAAAATTTGTAAAAGGCTGACGTGCAGTGCCAACCGAAACGTCGGAAAACCATTTTACTCGTCATCTTTATCTTCATTTACTGGCCGCGATAAGGGCGATAAAACCTATGAAACTATTATATCTATCTTAAAGTTCTATATTCAAGGAATGTCTTACTTTGCGTTGCCTTTTGGACCTTCTTTGAGATTGTCTTTAATATAATCATTGTCGATGAAGTCATCTGGATCTAAATCAGTGCTGTTATCCACGCATATCGAGCTATGGCCATTGCAGTATTCTAGACAAGGAACGCAAGATCCACCGTCCGTGGGATCTCCAACAAATAGCGGCTGGCATTTTTCACATTGTGAACCCTATAACATAACGAATCATTTATATTTTTTCACATAACATAATATCAATAAATCTCGTGCTGTAAAGTTATGGTGCAATTATCTCAACATATCTCAACCGAACCTAACCGAAATGTCAGATGAAAAAAGTTTACACACCCAGGTTCGGTTAAATTGGATTAAAATAAGTCACTTTATTAATCCGACAATACATTTCAATATATGCAATTGACGACGGTTCACCAAAAATAGATTGCTTTTTCATAGAAGCCAGATACACTCCCGAATTAGCGCAACATGAGTAAACGATGAGCTTATACCCCAATCAAAATTGTTCTTTTTACTAAGAAAAATTGTCACTGATAAGGATATTAAATTGTTCTATTATTAACAATCGTACAACTGTCATACACGTTTTTTTCAGAGCTAAGCCAGCATTATCAAAGAGAAGGTATAAACAAGAGAAAACAGTAAATTTGAAGCGACAAAATGCAATTTATTTACTTGTCACTTGGTGAGAGACAAATGCTGTATTGCCAGACAGATTATGTTTGGATGAATTTATTGTCCATTACTTGGAGTAACATAAAGCATCTTTTTTTCCAGTATACCAAATATATTTTCACTCAATGTGTAAGATGCACGTTGGAAAATATTCATTCAAGTATATCGATGACAGCAACAATAAAGGTAGCCGACATTTTAATGCTTTTTTAGTTTTTCCAGTGGATCTCATAATATTCTTAGATGCCCCACTGAGATCGTTCATGCTAAGTCAATCGCGAGTAGTTAAAAAGATATTTTTAACAAATGAATGTAATGAGAGTATGCAACAATAATACAACTTGGTTACCTCCATTAAGATTATTATAAGCATAGCTGTTTCGAAATATTTTAGGACAATCTGACAACACTGCACGTATTCCTCGTTTTTCTGACTTCGATCCAGCCGTTCGATCATAGATGGATCTGCTTTCGTTGTAAAACAGTCGACCAGTAACGCAGAGCCAAACTAATTCATAAAGGTACCATCAATGAGACGAACAGCAAACTTCGAAGACATGAAGACTCTCTTGGTATACCTAGTCTAATATTATATAACTCTACAAAGCTTAATGAAAATTTAATAAAGCCTGAAGCAGTATTTCTGAACGATGAGGTAGCCCAAAAAGGATGATTCACTCTTCCACTTTCCGGTCATAAGATCCTAATTAAGTAGTTCGTCTATATCCAGATCTTTCTCTTCTTGTTGTTATTATTTATAGTTGATTGACAGTAATAAATTTTGTCAATTGAATTTTTGAAAAAGACACATGCAGTTTCAAAAATGATGCAACTCACCATGGTGTTATTGTGGCACTTCAAGCATTTATCTAGTTTATCTGGACCTTCACAATCTGCATGGCCGTTGCACTGACACTGTATACTGCAGTTAGCACCCACATAGCCAAAGTCGCAATGACAGTTATTAGGTTGAACACATTGACCACGAACACATCCTATTCAAGCCAACAAAACAAACACGTTAATCTAACACAGCGATTCCCAGAAGACATATACAAATGTTTTTCTTGTATTACAGATTATGCTATCTACTCTACTAGACAAATAATGTAAATGGAGAAACAATAACCTCATGGATTTCGTATACATTTTGTTGTTTTATAATAGCTCTGGTAACAACATAATGCTGGCAACCAAGGAGCGAAAATGGTCCCGTACAGTGGCCGCTTTATAGGGAAGAAGGTAAAATTATTAGAAACCTGGCAACATGGATGGATAATGCAACCGACAGAGACTTAAGTCAAATGTTCACTTTGACAAGTGTTGATATATGAGACTACCGCAGTCAAAATAATTAACTTGCTAAAATAATCCTAATTCAAAAAAATACAGTAAAATAGCAAATAAGTTGATTGAATTCTGCCAATTGATTGTAATCAATCTGCAGAAGGAAAACCCTTGTATATGATATGAGAAATAATAAAAAACCATAGCAAAAAACATGAAAATCCGGAATTATATCGTTGTATATAAAATAATATCCATGCAGAATAGTCAAAACTTACAATTAATAGACAATGCCTGAAACATGGCTGCATCTTTTTGATATCATTGTCTAGCATGCTTAATTGACATTGTCGCACAAGCAGTCTGCATAAATGAGCGCCTACTAGAAAATACTTTTACACTACCCTTCATACGGTTAATGATGGCTCTCAGTGTTTTATAGCGAAGATTCTTAATAACTACGACGACAACTATCTTGACATCTTTTGTTACAGCTTCTAAATCTTCAAAAATATGAGAAGATGTTTTTCGCTGGGTATACTTTTTTTACTAATATATTGCTTTTACAATGTACATGGTCCGTCAGAAAGAACGCTTGTTTTTCGAATGGGCACTACATCGAGTGGGCTGGTCCCGTGTCGGTGGGGAAGGGCGTGTTGGATGGTATGAGAAGTGCCGTTTCAGTTGGAAAGATGGTTTGGAATGTTGAGCATCGTGTGTTCACTGTACGTCGGTACTTTCAAAATGGTGAGTCTGTCGTTCGAACGCGTTTTGCGTTCGCTTTCGTGTTCCACGTCGTGGGACAGTACCAGACCGTAACACCATTTTGAGATGGGTGGAAGCATCCAACACAACAGGTAATGAGATGAAGGAAACACCGCCTGGGCGAAACCGTACTGTTAGAACACACGAAAACGTAGACAGAGTTGACACGCTGCAAAACCCGAATCGTTCCGTCCGTTTGCGTGCCAGTTCCCTCCATACGACCTCTGTACGTCGCATCTTGAGGAAGGATTTAGTGTTCCATCCTTAGAAAATCCAAGTTTGTCAACAACTGTTGCCAGGGGATTATGCACAACGTGTTAATTTTGCACAGCTCATGATTGCACAGTTGGATAACAATGACACGACGTTGTTTACAAGTGATGAAGCACATTTTCATTTACATGGATATGTCAATAAACAAAATTGTCGATATTGGTCTCCTGTGAACCCCTCAACAGTTGCATGAGCACCCCCTGCATACCCCGAAAGTTACAGTTTGGTGTGCAGTAGGCCCAACGATGATTATTGGCCCTTATGTTTTTGAGGATGATGAAGAACTGTGCCTTGAGGAACACCGGAATTTATTACGCTACCTCATATGAACTAATTATACTAAACACTGAACTCAGTTAGGCAGCATTTTGTCAAATTGGATATGTTCAACTAGTTACTATAAGGAAAACATCAGTACAGATGTGACACTTATTTTGGTATTTTACATAATCTGGATTATTTCTGCCGATCCAACTGCCAGGTTGCCATTTGTGTTGTTCATTTAGAGATGCGATACTAGATACCATTGTATAGGCCCAATATGTCAACAGATAATTTCACTTGTATAGTGAGTAGATAGTCCAAAGCTATGCACACAAAAGAAAATACTCCAAATAAAATTACCAGTGATTTTGGCACAGATGTTATTATGAATATAATGCTCAAATCTTCCTTATTGTAAATGAACTTTTGTACAGGCGATTTCACTGTGCATCCGGCAGGTAATTAGCTGCCTGAAGTGTTTAAAGCATTTTCTATATTATTATAGTATACAGGTTAGGCAAATTAAAAACCAGACATTCTTGCTTTGATAAGCAAGACGAAAACGGGTGTTAGCATCCTAATTTAGAATGGATATACAATATTCATCAACAATAGAGGGTTGAAAGTTGATATACCAAAAACCACCTACATGGTTGCATAATAAGAGAGTTTTAAACAATTAAAAATTATTTAAAAAAATCATTATCAAGTTACATGGATACCGGTTTTACAAAAATTGTTCAAAATTGTCCCGATTTGCTCTATTAACGCAAAATCTTGCAAGGCGTTAATCCGAGGAGCGAGTAGGCCAAGAAATGGGTCCATTGCGCTCTCTCCATCTATTCGGAAACTCATTATTTTGATGTTCATGGACTTCTCGTCTAAAATGTGGTGGAGTCCCATCATGTAGGAACCACATATTCGGTCTCACATTTAGAGGAACATCTTCTAATAATTGTGTCCAAGAAAATCTACATAAATTTCATCGGTGAGTGGGGTTGGAAAAAAAGTAGGGTCCAATAAGCATGCCAATTACCACGCCAGCCCAAACATTTAATGAAAAACTATGTTGAAAATGAGTCTTTTTTACAGCATTCGGATTTTCTTCTGCCTAAACATGATTGTTGTGGAAATTGTGCACTCCATTTCATGTAAATGTGGCCTCGTCTGTACACAAAATTAATTTTGTTAAATCTTCATTTCTGTCGAACTGTTCTAAAAGCTACTGGCAGAATGCAACTCTTCTAGGATAATCTCTTCAGGTTGTAACATTTGTACTAGTTGATAATGATAATGTTCTTGTCGTATTGTCTTCCACACACTATAAGAAACTTCAACTTCAGCTGCTATGGCTCTAGTACCCATTTTTGGGTCGCCTTCGACCATTTCGGAAATGTCTTCCTCAATTTGTAACTGTTCAGGTTAAGCAGGTCTTCCAACGTTACCTAGTCGTTGTTCTTTTGAATCTCCTGTCACGAAGTCTAATAACTAAATTTACAAACATCCATGGGATCGAATGATGTTTTGAATATAACCTTTCCGCATACAACCTGCATGCTGCAGCTGCATTTTATTGGCACTCTCCGTATGTTAGTATTATGTCCACTGTTTTCGTAAACGTGGGCCATTTTTTCGCCAAAAATAATCAGACAAATAAAAGTATACGCACTACTAAAAGAATGATACAACTGATCGAACCAAAGACTCGTACTGAAAACCATACAATAACACAAAAACGATAAGAGCAGTAAACAAAAAAAGCTAAGATTTTACACGGCAGTGGTCGAAAATATCAAAAAATCTGTGTGATATTCTTCTTTTTTAAAATTTTTAATCTTTTACTATTTCTGTTATTATGCAACTTTTATATGTGATTTTTGGTATACGGACTTCTTTTGAGGAGGTCTACAAGCAGTTAAAATAACGACTCAACTTTTTAAAACACCCTGTATAGTAAGTTCTCTACTGAGAATGTTACAAGCTATTTTCTTTACACTCTTGCGATCTAAGAGAACAGCTGTATTTGCATTACTACTGTCCAGTTTTGAAATTACCCTGCCTGGGTACTACTAATATGCCGCCAAAGTTATATTACAATTTAGTTAGTAGATTAAAAAATATTTCATTTGATGAAATTATCCAAATATTTTACAAAGCCAAACATAGAGACACTTACCTAAAGGACACACAGGCTCACATCCATTCACTCCAGCTTTATATCCAGCTCCACATTTGCACTCAAATCCATCCTCTAGATCTACACAGATCTCGGACTCGTTCGCGCAAGTGTGATGGCCGTTCAAACATTCGTTTTCGGGAGGACATTTTACGTAGTGCCAGCTGTACGACACGTTCAAATCGTTCAGGTAAGAGGCAACTGCGTCGATGTCCTCGGGATTGGCAGGATTTCTGTCAAAAAATGCATTAATCAGATTTTGTTTTTACGCTCCAAAAACAATATCGACAGATTATTTAAAATCAGCCAGTCACTTGGCAGTGTAAATACGAAACCTCACATTCATAATTACACCCTTTGAGTGTTACCTGAATACAGAAGCCGTCTTAGTATTTTTCATCGAATGTAATTCTGAGAAACAAAACAGATATAAGTATACCTGACTGTTCAGTGATCAGAACAATAAAAGATGTATCTCAATAAACGATAATGATTGCTTCCTTACTTACAGTCCCTTCCTAGCATTTTATGAACAACTTGTGAATATTTTTCTTAAAAGCGTTCCATACCGAAAAGTTAAAATTAAGAGTAAAAAACCGTTGGTTACAAAAGGGTTGGAAATATCAACTCGAAATTGGAAATCCAAGATATTTATAAAAAATGAAAGTTGCAATAACTATTCATAGAATATATGAGCAAGTTTTAGCTTCAGAAAAAAAAATAATAAGATCATGAAATAAAACCAAGGAGGCATGGAAAGTCGTAAATGAATTAAGAGGCAAACCTCATACTTCCACCAACATGCCACTTTTAAATCCTGATATGTACTAAACAACTTTTACTGCACAATAGCAGAAAAACAAAAAAATACGATACAAAATACTGATGATCCGTTAACAAATTTAAACCCTATAAATATAGATCAGAAATGTGTATCCTACGGATATTTATGAAATGCAACTAGTACTAAGATATGTCAAAGATTTATGAAATTTCTTTAGATGTTTAGCTAATATTTCACTTGATGGTCTTAATACGTTTACAAAACTTATAAATATTTCTCTTAACACTAGTGTTTACCCAGAATTTTTAAAAACATCAGGAGTTATTCCTATTCATAATAGAGGTCCAAGCGATTTGTCAGAAAATTAGACCCATAAGTTTAATTACTGTTGATTAAAATTGTAAAAGTATCAAGACATTATATTTCAAATAAATTAACTATAAACGCAGGGGTACTTCAAGCATCGGTATTAGGTCCGATCCTATTCTTAGCCTATATCAATGATTTAATAAACTTAAATATAAATGAAATCAATATAAAGATTGATAGTGATATACAATCAGTCAAAAAATTGTGTGACTTGTAAATTCTCTACTTCTACTAACCTTAGGCAGTTGCATTTAGGCTTTGTCTACCTAACACAACTAGCTGAAGTGAATAGAAAATTAATTTGTTGTTGCACAGTAATTTACGAAACTCATTCGGCAATCTTCCCTCCCGAACGTTCAAACAAGTCCGCTATTTTATGTTTTGACGGCAAAACAATCTCCTTCCGTAATATACCACCAAATTTTGTGGCTTCAGTGAGGATTAGTGTCACGTCAAGTTTCTTTTTAATAACTGATCATGGCTTATCGACGACATATTACTAGTTTGCGGATTCAACGTCCATTCAATTTAAGAAATAAACTGTTAGAATTGTTCACCAAAAGGCTCGCTTTCATGGCGGAAACGAATGCTTGTGTATGGGCTGCAAATGACATGGTTGTTTTCAATACAATAACTTGTTCAATGGAGAAGATAACCCTTTACAAAGAAAAGCTCCAGTGACGGTTCTAGTTTATTTTTAAATTTAATACTTCAGGATAACAATCAAGTAGGAAAAGTGACCAATAATTAACTGACCTTTCATCATCTAGTAGTTTACGAGAGTTCTCATAATAAATAATATTACAAGTGCCGGCCATTGGTCGCTCGTTAGACCCTTCTGCACAGACACCTTCGCCTCTATTTCCTGGAGCTGCGCACCACCCACAGTGCGCATGTCGCAGACAACTTGAACATTGGTTGAACGAGTTACAAGGTTCTGGACAGTACTGTCTATCTTCAGATTCCATGACCTGAAATAGTAACAATAGTTCAATCGTACATATCAACTTTTTTTCAAATATCAGCCAACATCAACTATGATTTCTTTATACAGGGTGTCCCGAAACTTGGGTCTTTTCTTTTCAGAAACAACACAATTGTAATTACAAAGCTAATGCGTGTTGAAACAACAGCGAAAAAGTAAAAAAAATGCACTCACCGTTCCTTGAAAGAAAATTCATGTACAGCTCTGTCACATGTAAGTAATTGTTCAAAGTTGTCTGCGGTAGATTGAAAGACACATGTATGTGCTCGACGTAGCCAAGCATCAGTGTATGCTTTTAGAATGGACTGCTTTTTCAGAAGGAACGCAGCAAAATGCTAAATTGGCACACGTAGTTCAACCGTGTTCACCTCAGTTTTATACACTAAACAATTCGTATCGCCCAAACAGAAAAAGAAATACGAAGGATCTTGAAAAACGGTCTGCATGCACTCGCGAAGCCTCGGTGGCATTTCGAAGACACCGTAAAATAAAATAATTTGGACAACCCCGATATTGCTGTATGAGTGTGCCATTTTTGTTTTGTTCATTTAAAACCGATGTGGACAGGTTTTCTTTGCCAACGCGGCCAGCGCCTGGACCGGATTCGGTTTTATCTCAAGACATTGGTGTATTATGTTTCTAGAAAAAACTATTCATTTTTTTCTAAGATCTATACGCGGTGTAAAGGAAAGTCCCAACTTGGAGGATATTCTGTATATATTTTGTACTAAGTTGCGATTCAAACTATTCATCATACAAAAAACCGGTTAACTGCAAAATGAACGGTGAAACAAAATTTTTGATGGTTATCAAACGATACCTTGGACACTATTTCTGATAACAGTCGTAAGAAATCAAAATCGTTCAATATTGGATAGTTATAGATGTTTTATGATAGCATTTTACGCAAAAAACACTTACCAATCCACAAACTCCTCCAGCACAATAGATATCTTGATATGAAGCTGATATGCATTCGTCTAATTGCGTTGACCATCTACAGTCAGGTACTTCAAGACAGGCACTACACGTCGAGTAATTTATACACGGTTGCGGACATTCCGATACAGTAGTCGCACCGTCGTCCTGAAGATCTAGTTGGTAAGAAATAAGGTTGAAATAAGTTGAAAGCGTAAGAATTCCATCGGTTAACGCTCTACACATCGGTACACGATTCTGGATTGAGTATACTCAGTGAGAAAGAATATAGAACAGCCAGTGAAAATGATTTTATCTTGATAAAATTTTGTATAAAACTGTATACAGTGAAAACCATATGCCACTGACGTCGTAATGTGTGCGTGAGAGAAGCGCAAGAAGCGTGCAATACGTGTGTTAGAAATAGATAGAAGCACCTCGTTGCCTAGCAACCCGACTATCAGGCCACGGACGCCATCCCTTTCTCACATACATATTACGACGTCAGCCAAATTTGAACCTCACCGTAGACATAAGCAAGAGGAGGTCGTGATTAAATTTTGAAGTGAAAACGTTTGCGATATCGCTAGATTTCGCTAATAGTGTGTTAGGAAATCTTGATGACGTATCCATTCCTCCAGTCACCGGGCATGCTTCTGATGAAGTATTTATGACTTCTTAGGATATCTCAAGCGTGCTGTACGTGATATCTCACGCATGTTCAATTGGAGAATGGTCTGGATATCTATTAGACTACCTCAATAACGTTCCTTCCTTGGCAGCATAGATCCCGAGACCTCCCGTTAAATATGTGTGAGATCTGATAGGAAGAGAAACGGCATATTTACCTTATACTGCACAAACGCTAACAAGTCTTAAGAGGAACAGTTAGCTACGGGTAAAATAGATAAATCACCTCATCAGAAGCATACACCCACGACTGAACGAATATATATGGCATTGAGGTAGCCCAGCACATTATTAGGAAAATTCAGAGACACAGCAAATATGTTCACCGCAAAATTTAATCACTACTTCCTCACACTCCTTACTGGGTGTTTCTTTGTCTCTGAATATGTTTACATATCTGCATATCAAGTAACTCGAAGGTCTCCCATTAGCTCCGTTTATCCATTAGTCCGATTATTAAGATAAGTTTGACGTTGCAAGGCCAATGCCTTGTCCCTCAACACTAAGCCCCAGAACCTTAGTAAGCGAGACATAAAGTGTATTTCATATTTCAAACTTTTTGACGTTATCTTTGGTGAAAGAGTGACGAGATAAAAGGGAGCTTCGCGTCGAGGAGGTACTTTCTCAAATGTCACATGTTCCGTATTTACTGTGATCCGTCAACTGTGTAGCCTGGACGTCAGCAATTACTGATGTATAAGGTTACGTAGAAATCCCATGATAGACGGAATCATCAGTAAATACTGATGGTATAGGCCACAGTAAATACTGATCGTGTAAGATTCCCAATTGCTAAAGCCCTTTTCTAATACCAAGATTGGTAACTTAGCAACAGGTATTAAATAATATAATTTTACAATAGAGTGTCACTAAAGTGAAAATACTTGATATACACCTTTTATGGGTGATAAAATAATATTCCGATAAAGATATTTTTGGAAATACCTCATCACACCATACGAATGTATCTACTTTTGAGAAGACTCTAAGAATATTCTCTGAAGAATTCATGACATAAAACTCATAAAACTGGTTTTCCAAAATATTTCTTCGCATCCCGTAAAAAATTAACTATGGCTAATGTAACACCAGAAACGTATCCATGCTGGTACGACTCCATGCTTGTCTAGCCGCTAAATAAAACCACAATTACTTTTTACTGCAGGTTTTTAAGAACAATTGACACTGAAAATATATTTTGTTGTATGAAACGTCGTCAGTAAAAAGTAATTCAAGCACATAGCGACCAGACAAACTTATGAAACAAAACGTTTAATAGATTTTTCTGAGCATTCTGAGTGATAAGGACTAAGATTTAGTCATCGCACCTGCGACATTTCGTATCGATTATAGTTCCTTTACTTCACACTAATCACTAGTACTCACTCGGTATACACTCCTTCCTGGAATCCCAGTAACAGCCGGGTATCTGATGACACTGGATGCAGTCGGTGGCGATGCACCTGTTTGACAGGCACTTCAACTGGGGCACGCTGCACTGGGTAGTGTTGCTTGTGCAGGCTCCTTGGCACCAGCTGCACGAACTCGTCTGTAGACAAGAGCTGCAGTCCTGCATCAGCGTACAATTCGATGAGGAGTATACACTACAGATGCGACCCTGATTCGTCACTCGGGAGGCTGGAAATTGTTAAAAGGTCTACATGTGGTACTCCTAAATGATTTGTTGTGTGTTGCCTATTGGGCACAGAAGCAGTTTTCTTTGTTCAGGGTGTTTTAGAAAGAGGTACCAATATTTCTAGAGTACAACAAAAAATAACAAATAAGTTCCTATAGGTATGGGTACAAAGATGCTCCCCTACCGAGATACAGGATCATCATGTTTTATTTACGAAATTAACAAAAAAATATAGTAATAATAATAAAGATACTGAGTTAGGTTTTAGGCGTTCAGTGAGCACATCATCAGCAATAAACACACAGAGTTTCCTGGTCCAAACTAAGCCACCGACGTCGAGACTGGGGTACTCGGACCCCTAATAGAAAATATTTTATACTCCTTGCCTTTGCGAAGCAAAACGTGCATTTTATAAAATACCATTTGAATTTCCATAAATTTTGTCTCTTAAAGAATTTTTATCAGATCGCTCGTTTTCGAGATATTTAGGTTTAAATATTCCAGGTAAAATCCTAAAATATTCTTGTGAAAAGGTTTAGCCTCCCCTATTCTGAAAACACCGTGAAGCTTCTACGCTACTAATTGAGGATAAGACACGCGTATTAATCAATTAATGTTGTAATTAGGTGCCATAGCCTTCTTCACATTCCATATAGTGTTTCCAATATCAAGGTTCACCGTGTTTTCAGGATTGGGGGGGCAGACCTTTTCATAAGAATATTTTAGGCTTCTACCTCAAATATTCAAACCTAAATATCTCCAAAACGAATGATCTATCAAAAATATTCCTTAAGTGACGAAATGCACTTCCGAAAAAGTCAGCGGCGTCAAAAGTATTTCCTACTAGGGGTCTAGGAATCTCAATTTCTACGTCCCTGGTTTATTTTGGGCCTGGAAACTCTGTGTTTACTGCTTATGATATAATTACCTCAACCTCACATGAGATTTTCCATCATTTGCAGGTGTTAGGTTGTTTATTTTGTTTACGTGCAAAATCCACCGAATTCGAATCATGATATTTTTAACGTTCCCTATAATTATTATATCCTTGTTGTGATTCATGCCAACGAACTGCAAAAAAGCTTAGTCATGAGGGTAGCTCCACGATAGATCGGAAAAATGTCAAGGTTAGCTCAGATGTTCTTTTTGAACTCTGAAGTAAGTCAACATTCACTGATTTGACAACCCCGCCTCAGTTCGGAATGCCTCACTTCACAAAAGGAACGCAAATACTGTGAACCATAATGACAGCTGAGATTAATGCGTTCTTTAATAATGAGCGCCAGCGGCATCAAAAATAATCCAAATTTTCCACTAATTTTGCGTTTCCTAATTAGAGCTGACGGAAAATCCGAACTGGGATACAGTTCCAACAGACAGCTAGCTGTTTTAACTCACGCAGTGGTCGATTCTGGTAATAGATGGTACGTTGTATGCCTTATTTCGATGTATCACATTAGTTCGCGATGTAACCAAAACTTTGTGGTCGGGTCTTGAACTATCACTGGTTTACAAATAAAAACAGCAACATACAAATACATATGTATTATATACAAATATACAAAGGATTATTTTTAGAAAAAAGAAAACTCATCCGTCAGACGAATTATATCATGAGACCGGAATGAAGGACATAAAACATATTTTTATCTATAATTCCATGGTGTATTACCTTAAAAATAAAACGTATCATGAAAAAATTATCTATAAATATGACACCCGCCAGAAAGCGACTCTGCACCAAATAGTACCCAAACCAGGAACAACACTATTACAACGCTCTTGGGTTTAACTATGCCCCAAGCGACACAACGAATTGCCTGTTGCTTACAAAAGAATACAAAATATATATGTATATAAAGGCCAGATGTAGTCACCAGCCTGTATGAATGTGATGATCACTGTATATTTGTAGTGTTCTCTTTATCTTGATTTTGTTTTTACTATATTTTGTTATATTTACGATAGACACACTTTTATGTCAGTTTTAATACTTTTTTAATGTGTGCATCTCAATGATTTGTGAATGTTCTATTTCTTTGTGTTTTAATATTTTTAACCTTTTTTTATTTTCACTTTTTATACTCCACGAATAGCTATAGCTTCAATGCATTTTTTCATATTTAATTTTAAACAAACAAATAACCAGTGCCATTTCACGACTCATAAGTTGTTTCGCCAGTGACCATGATGGCAAATGTGGCAAAAAATTAGATTATTGCCACACCCAAGTGGTTGAATTCGTCATTATTGCTCCTATACTGGTAACAAATTATAGCAATCTGTATTTTTGGCAAATAAAAAAAAAATAATAATTATTTTTTGGTTTGGCTCAAAGATGGCTCTGAATGTACCGAGGCGGTGTTGTCAAATTACCATAAAATATTTAGAAAGCGCTGCATTTATACTGAGCTGAATGGAGTTCAATTCTTTTCACGATTTCACGTGGATACGTCAAAAAGTCATACGGAATATGTAAACATATAGTCTAAGGTCAGGCTATCTAGATAACTGGCCATCATGTCATATAGACCGACGATTGGTCATATAAGCAATAAGCTAACGATCCTCTCTCCTCAATCATGTAATATTCCGCGTAGGGTCCTAAGAGTTGAATAGCTATGTGGTAACTTATAGGTTTGGAGAATAACTTTTGTTTACATAACGTCGAGAGCACTCGCGAAAAGTGTGACTCATAAATATATTTCGAAGGCTGCATACGAACGATCAATATCTCCACCATGAATATCATCCAAAAAAGTAAATTTGAACGAAAAAGCTTTCACGACAAGTGATGTACAATGAATTCATCCAAAAAGCAGTATCTATCTGGCATCGCCGCATTTAAAACCAAATAAGAGCAGCAGCAGCGTTGGAAGCTGAAGGTAAGAGGACTTGAAACTTTCGATTTTTCGAAAACAAGAGTTTCAAGAGAACCTAGCAGACCCTCTATCGATGATCGCTTAACGACATCGATAGAATGTGCGAGGTAAAGGGAACCAACCCGGCGTTCCCAGAGACTGAAACACATGAGGAGACGTTGTAGCAGACCGCAGGTCACGCACAACACATGGCCTACCGAGACGCTGATGAGTCGGACCACGCGGAGGTTAGGGTTTAGTGGGTATTAGGTGGTCTCCTCAAGACAACCTGGAGTCCCACACACGCCGTAGCTCGGGCTATGGTATGGTGCATAAACGCATTCCCCCCTCACAAAAAAAAAAAAAAAACGTAAGCTGAGATACCTCAGTTTCAATAGACAGTTGTTGTTCACTTTCGCCAGTGGCCGATTCTTGCTGCGATGTATTTCGGCATACTTCATGTTCAATTAGGTAAGAATCAGATAATACTTACAGTTCAAGATGGGATCAAGTGGACACTCCTTGGTGTTGGCATGGCACTGTTGCGTCCTAACCTCTTCGTGGATTTTATTCGCGCAGTACCCACAGCCTGATACAGCCAAGCACGCTCTCTTTCTCGGCCATAAGTTGCACAAGTCGACCGGCAACTCGATACGCAACACGCTGCTCTGACTGTCCAATCCCCAACCGCCTATGACGTACACTGCGTCGCCATCCGGTTCCACCGTCATTGCTTGGGCGTACGTTTGTCTTGGGAAGGGACCCACCTAGGAGGGAAGAGTCAATACAAACCTTTCGATGGTTTTGGGCTGAATGTAACTAGGCTTGATGCTGAATAGAAGCATTGATTTAAAATAGTCTACCTGAAGATATGCTCGTATATTTCGTTCATCACCTAGTAATGGGTGTTTTTTTTTTGAGGTATATAACTTTAAGTTGGCATTACTTTTGAAGATGGCGACCGATTTGACTTTTTCATTCCTGAATTGAACACTTATGATGTCCAGGATCTGTGGTACCAACAAGACGGCGCAACATGTCACACAGCTCGTGCTACAATCGATTCGTTGAAAGACACGTTTGGTGACCGCCTAATTTCACGTTTTGAACCTGGAAATTGGCCTCCAAGATCTTGTGATTTAACACCGCTAGACTATTTTCTGTGGGGCTATGTAAAGTCATTAGTCTATGCGGATAAGTCACTAACGCTTGACCATTTGGAAGGCAACATTCACCATGTTATTGCCTATGTACGGCCACAAATGTTGGAAAAAGTCATCGAAAATTGGACGTCCAGATTGGACTACATCCGAGCCAGCCGTGGCAGTCATATGCCAGAAATCATATTTAAAATATAATGCCACAAAATTATCTTTCGAATAAAAAAATGCATGTGAATCGAATAATCCATCGTTGTTTTATTGCAATTTAAAGTGCTATACCTCTAAAAAAACCACCCTTTACCAGCATATACTGGGTGAACCAGAAGTCGGAAATAGGGATAGGCCAATGTACTTTTCAAATTATAGGCTTTGAAAAAAAAATCGGAGAAATCTACATCCTATGATGATCTTTTAGTTTCCATTGGTACAAATTGACATTCTACGTAGTGTCAGCAAGACAGATAGTAACGCCACTTTTATTAGTTAATGATTGTGTAGTATCACTATGCCTGTGTACACCGCACAGGATTTTATTTTAAAAATATTCAAAACTCTCACTTTTGTTGTGGCATCATCCATCAGGTTAATCCACTGATTGCAGTTGTACGAGTAGGCATAGAAGGTGTCAGTTATATTCCATGGATACATGCGACCTCCCATAAGCAGCATGTAGTCATCAGTGGTAACAGCAGAGTGAAATACTCTTGGGCGAGGCTATAGAATAATAAAAATAATGTCTTCTTTATTTGGTGTACAAAATATGTTATTAGTCATTAAACACTATCAACCCGATATTGAAGGGATCATTATGAATTTTATATTGATCGAAAGCTGCAGTTGACGCACTAGAGGGTCTAGTCTTGATTATCAAGATTCGTACAATAGCTCCCAACGATCATAAATCAGCACTTGTAAATGACTCAATCATTTGTAATGATCTGAAAATGTACATGTGCCGACCTGATGATATCAAACGAATCAACAACTTAAAGATATTTAGCCATGAGCTTAAGAACTTCCTTATTTGTAAACGATGTTATGCCATGTCTGAGTTTTGCACTTAATAATAATAATAGCGTTTATTTGCAGGTCAAAAAAAATACAAAGAGTAAGTAAACAGTAAACAATCAAGCTGACTAAAGTACTAGCCCAACAAACAAAACTAAAACAGATAAGTTCTTAACCAAATTATATAAGTTAATATTAATAATTAACGAACTCTTGAACAGACACTGATAGTGGGCTAACCATTAAGTAGTAATTTTCACGATACTTAGTCATGTTTTGACATCTATTGAGATGAACGGCAAGTGGCATCCTTGTATTGAAATTTCTAATGTTAGCAATAATGACTCGGGTGAAAATCAGGATCGTATTCAGAATTTCTTCAAACCCTGATGATTATTTTTCTCATATCTACATACTTTCTGTCACTGGGATCGGTAGCAGTCATATTGTTTGAAATATTTTTTGTGCATAGGAACTTTTCTAAATAAAGGCGATGCGTTGTTAGAAAGTATGAATCAAAAGCATACAAACAACCACAACAAAATACGGCAGATCTTGCGTTTACAGATCCATCAGAGTTGTACATCATTTTGCCGATATAGGGTATTTTGAATGTTACTAGATTATAAACTGTCGTTTGGTGTAAAGTTTGACATAATGAAGTATCGTAAAAAATAGAGTAGTAAGTATAAGTTGGTATTGACACTTTCAAAATTACGAGATTATTTGCATTATTGTATATTTTCAATTATGTCATATCTATCAGCTCAGCACTACTTTTCTATGTTCGTCTAGAAAATAAATAATAAATGAATAAACCAGTTACTTGAGAATTATTTTTTTGTTATAATGCGCTTAATTTGTTGAATTAGAAAGATGTTCTCAACTTACCCAACTAATTGAAGGATCAAGACTATTCAACTCTGTCCACGTTTTCGACTCATAATTCAACATATACAGGTTATTTTTGACCAATGATTGTCCCTTCGTATACACCACACCACCAAACACAAACAAATTATTGCTCTGACTGTGATACACTGTCGTGTGACCAAATATACCAGCTGGTCCCATTCCTTTGATGTTTAGCTCTTGCCAGTGTTCTTTTTCCAAACGATACTCCCAAACTAGGTTCAGGAAGCCTCCTTGTGGCGATACGCCTCCGATCAGGATCAAACTGTCCTGTGCCTTGTGGTAGGTCAGAGTGTGGCCAGATACGGCTGGTGGCCATATATACTTCTTCTCAATCTCGCTCCAACGTTGGTTCTGGATGTCGAACTGCCAAAAATCATCCAGTGTTCTAGAATATAAAATACATAATACTCTCAACTGATACGTCAACACCCAGCTTCAACTAAAAACCAACTTGGTGAAGTATGTTATAAGGTTTAGTGTGGTATGTAAGCTGTTATTAATGCATACGATTTGTGTGGAATCTCAGGACCACTGGTCAATGATCGATGTAAGCATGTGCCTTTCTGAAACCATTTATATAGGGGTTGAGAATCTATAAGATAGAAATACAGGGTATACCTGAAGTTGACGTCAAGCCGGAAACAGGGAATAGGCCAGGTCATAATAGTTAACAAATAAAAAAATCTAAGTCGTGTACTTTTCAAATTTTGGATTTAAAAAATCGAAAAATGAAAAAACAAGGTGTTTGTTATAATCTTTTAGTTTAAATTACCACAAATTTCAATTTTTTCTTAGACGAAGTGTCGGACAGTGTCATCCTGTGTAGTGACAGCAAGACAGATAGTTACGCCACCTTTATTAATTCGTGAATGAATATATTAAATTCACAATAAATGTTAAAACATCCTTCCTTCAGCAGAAATGCAAACTTGACATCTTCTTAAATAAATAGTACCAGACCGCCCTAACCATCTGATCGGGTATTCCGCATGAAGATATTCCCTAGCTGAGCTGCAGAGGCAGCCGTCTTGTTGGTACCACAAGTCTCTATAAATGCTTAGTGGCAGGTATTCCGATAGATTTGGTAAATGATTTTGGAAAAAGTCTAAATAAATTTCACCATTCAAGAACTGTGGCAGGTCAAAGGGTACATGTTTACACGTTTACTTTAAAACGATTCTGTGGTCTATCTTGTCTGATCAAGTGTGGATTTTGTACATGCCACTCGTGTAGGTTGTGTAGATTCATGTACCCAACTTCTTCAAATGTCGATTCATCAGCCCATAAACTTTTCTCTAAAAGTCAGCGAGGAATTTATCATATTATCAGTGATTTACTGAATGATTTTGTTTATCAAATAAAGACTATACCTGTTGCTGTAATTTTTCTGCTTCTTGGTAAGGCCCCCGTAAATGAAGATTGTCTGCGTGTGAACTATATCAGCTCCGTGAAAATATCTGCCCGTGGGCATTTTGGCATCTGGCGTAGATTCTATGGTGACTTGCATCCAAGTGAGGTTTTTCGTGTCAAACAGTCGAATGTCGTTGAGGGGCCGTGTGATAAAGAATAACCCCCGAACATCCAAAGTGCACCTCTGCGATCGGAAACCAGCGAATGGCCAAATCTGAAAAACGAAAAATGTGCATTTTAGGATTTCTAAATAATAATAATAATATTTATTTTCATAAATTATAAAGAATAAATAACAACAAACCAGTTTTACTAGATTTACACCCGATTCACTATTTCCAACGTCGCAGAGTAACACAAACATGTCATTTGCTGATCAGCTGTTCACCTCAGTAGACGTCAAAGTGTGATGGATACTCGTGAAATAGGGTATAGCAGCCAAGCCACTCCTAACCTCACTTTTCAACTGTTGTCTTTTCCATTTGTTTGTCGTTTGTTTTTAACTTTAAAACCGTCGTTTTAAATTTAAGTCATCATTTTGTTCTGTTTTATGCGGTGTTGTTTTAGCATTGGGCCAATTGTTTCTCTAGGTTATCAATTTTTTTTGTAGAAGTTTGTTTGACTTTCTTAATTCCGCCTTTAATTCAAGTAATTTGTTCTCCCAAACCACTGATCTATCTATAAGGTAATATATGTTGTAATTTGTCGCAATTGACTTATGTCAAGGTCAAGGTCAGCGGCCCCGCGTTCAGACAAATTTACAGTTTTGAATTGGGGTATTTTCGCAACATTTGTTCGTTTTCTTTACTGCACAACTGTTATGCAACACTGCGCATTCAACTTTTTTATTTACTTCTCCGGATTTAGAAAATCCGCACACATCTCGCTCACACGAGTCTACGTCCACTCTCCATAGCGAATGAATTCAGAGAATACAATATAACAACCTATTTATATACATGTACTTTTAATGTACTCGAGGCGTATTGAGACTCCATTTTTATTGACTAATATACACCATTCAAATGGGTTTTTGAATGATATTGCACAGAATATAGATGCTTTGAAGGAACATACAGTTAAAAATCAATTCATAGTAACTGTCAACTATGGTTGCCATATTTTAAATAGCACATAATAATTTACCGACTACCAGTTACTCAATTTATATATGAGCAGGTAACACTGTTAATACTCAGAAAAATAGACACAGAAACAATTGTGTTTTGTTCCATGTTGTATATAATTTTAATTAGTCCATGCTCATATCTGTTTATTATGACCCATGAAGGATTTAGGCTATGTAAAGAAACAGCTTATGTTTATGATTTAAAATTCATATTCTGATTTCAAAGAAGTTATTCGCATCTGCCCTCTTTCTAAAATTCATCAGAATCTGTTATGCAACACTACAAAAAAACTTTTTTGCATTAGATGAAACAGGCTACATTTTTTGTTTGTTTGTGAGTGATAATAATGTACTGATCAGTAAATCAATGGCGCAGTTGGTCGAAATATTTGAGAAAATACCAATGAATACTTTAATCTTTTGTACCAAGTAGCGTTCATATTCCAAAAATACGTTTTATGCAAAAATATGGAGCACTCATGTATTGGCTTGTGCTGATATACGGCATGCTATACACAATAACACAAACTCCGTACCTGGGCAACGTCTTTCTGAAATGGTCCAAACTATCTGCCAACCGTATCGTATTGAACAGCTCCGTGAACAACAGGTGACTCTTCTTCCTCTGTACCCCACAATCGACGCCCGTGTACTTCTCGTTGCACAGACACCTGCCGTACGACTTGTCGCACGTCCCCCATCCCTCCCGTTGACCGCAGTCCTTCGGGCAGATCTCCTCCTTGCATTCGGGCCCCACGAGGCCGTTAGCGCATGCGCATACGCCATTCTGACACTCGCGAGGCGGTTGGCAGTCGTCGCATGTCAGGATTTTGTAGACCGCGCTGAACGATTCGCCGGAGAGGCCTTGTTTATAGTGGACTGTCAGCTGACCTGAGGAATAATAAAAATCTACAAATCGAAAATAATAAACATTAAGTTCTATGCTCTTGTGTTTAAAGGTCATTTTGGAAAACGGATTTAAAACATGAATGAAAAACATTATTACAGGAAATAAAAACATACACATGAACATGAATAACAGTAAAACTGACACAAAAAAATATATATCTAAAAAGAAGCATGTCGGTTCCAGGGTATATGGCATAAATTTTGAATGGATCAGTATTAGGTCCGATCCTATTCATACTCATCAATGATTTAATAAACTTAAATGGTAAATTCGTAGTTTTTGCTGACGATATCACAACATTTTGTCAAGAAACATATATACATGAGATTAAGGCAAAAAATGACAGTGATATACAAACAATCAAAAAATGGTATGATAACAATTACTTGACTTTCAATGTTAATAAGACAAAACATATGAGATTTAAACGCCCCTTGATTATATAAATTTAAATAATGAATTGATACCCAAAATCTGACACCATCAAAATTTTGGAACTTACCGTTGATCATAAATTATATTTTACTAAACATGTAGACTAACTGCTTAATCAACTGGCAAGGATTTCCTTCATTATACGAACAAGATATAACATTTCCTTTTAGTGTGTCTGTTCCCAAAATTCTTTAAAAAAGGTGCTTATTTTACGAAAACGAACTGTTGTAAAAGCAATCCTAGAGCTACATGCAAGCCTTTATTTGTAAATCTTAAAATAATTAATGTATCACTGTTGATTTTAGAAACAGCAACAATTATTTTTTTAAATAAATCTAAATTTGAAATATGAAATATAAGTTACGATATTAGCCGAAAACAAGATATTAAATTAGTAGTACCTAAATCAACACTTGTGAAAGACTCAGTAATCTATAATGGTCTGAAAATTTACATGTGTCTCCATGATGCTATCAAAGGAATTAACAATGTGAAGATATTCCGCCGTGAATTTCAAAACATTTTAATATGTAAACGATATACCTTGTGTGAATTCTACAATTCACCTACTTAAGATCCACATATGTATTTATGTTATAGTTAAAATTAGCTTTTTTATTAAGAATAATTATATTCAACAAAGCATATTTATTTACCTATCTATACTCCAGTGCATTTTAACATGGAATAGTAGTGTTATGGAATTTTGGCCTAATAGGCCATAAGGTACTCACACACAGATGCGGCTAAAACTGACCTTATACAATAATTACTTGATCGCTACTGTCTCACTGAATTAGGGAGGAAATGACGCCGGAAGTGAATCAGGTAACCACATTAACATTTCAGTCTTTTTATCCACAAGTGTAGGTACTGGATGCGCCATCTATTACTTTTTTTTACCTATAAGTTTATGTGTTACCATGTGAGTCAAAAGTCATGTGGTATGCATAAATGAACTGTCCAAGGTATGCCATTTATAGTCATGGATTCGCTTACAACACAACAACACATTTTGGTTATCCAAACTTATTACGAAAACGGTCGGCGAAATATAAAAACAACTTTTCGCAAACTTCGCACTAGTTTTGGCCGACATGGACGCCCTACAGAGACTGGAATTCATTGGATTGATAATCGTTCTGAGGAAACTGGTTCAGCTGAAGGTCGTACACAATACCAAGATGCTCGTCCAGCTCGTACTCGTGAAAACACAGCCGCAGTGAGTGAAAATGTGCGAGAAGATCCAACCACCTCGACTAGGCAGCGTTCGCAACAATTGTTAATTAGTAAGACCACTTTACGCCGGATTTTACATAAAAATCCAACTAACGCAAGAATTGAAGCCAGCAGACCATCAAAAGCGGCGTGTTTTTGTTAATTGGATACTGGAAAGAGAAGACGGATTTTCGGCCAAAGTGCTCTTTTCTGATTAGGATCATTTTCACCTCAATGGGTACGTAAAAAAGAAAAATTGCAGATTCTAGTACGCTGAAAATCCACACCAATATCACGAACAACTTCTCCATCCTGAAAAAGTGACTGTTTGGTACGAATTATGGGCTGGTTGCATCGTTGGATCAATCTTCTTTGAAGATGCCGAAGAAAAGGCCATTACCGTCAACGGGGAACGTTATCGCGGCATGTTAACAGACCTTTTGTGGCCACAATCGGATCGTATTGGTGCCGAAGATCTTTGGTTTCATCAAGACGGAGCAACGGCTCACACATCTTGCCAAACAATCGCCTTATTGCACACGAAATTTCAAGACCGCATAATTTCGCGAAATTCAGATGTCAGTTGGCCTCCGAGATCGTGCGATTTAACACCTCTTGACTATTTTCTTTGGGAATTTTTGAGAGGAAAAGTGTATACGAATTGTCCCGGGACAATTCAAGACCTAAAGCGCAATATTCGGACTGAAGTCATTGAAAATTTTGATGTTCGGATGTTGGCCTGTAAACGAAGCTGTGGTGGTCACATGACTGATGTTATTTTTCATACATAAATGGCATAAACCAACCATCATTTAACAACAAAAAAATTCGATTTCACCTCGTGAAAAGCGTGTTGATTTTTCAAATAGAAAAAAAAACTAATAGATGACGCACCCTGTATAAGTCGTGTAACGAGAGCTAGTTATAGGCAATCTGTTCGTAGTAATGTAACAAACCTGTTCTGGACTCTACAATGGTCGTTGGCATGGCTTCTTCAGTGCACAAAACTGCAGACAAAGCACTTTGACTTCCCATGTCGACTAACTCTGGTAAACCGTCGTAGACATACACTGCATTTTCACCACAGGTGACGTTTAGTTGAGATGCGTTGATCTATAAACATCACTTTATTCAGATTGATCATTACGTAAATACTGATGTAACAGTAATATCTCTCGAACCATGTTCAAAATGAAACCCAGATAGTCATGTAGAAGTATATTTAAACTCAACAACTTATTAACATTGCCAGGCATTGTTTATATCTATAACACTCTACTTTTATCTGTAACCATAAAGAAAAGTTTGGAAAAAAACGTCTTCAACCACACCTACAATACTCGCAAAAGTCAGAAATACATCTACCCATAATAAGGTAAATTCTACCGAAAAATATCCACATTACTCAGCATTGAAACTTTACAACATCTTCAATCTCTTTCAGCATTCTCTTTATTCAAAAAGAAAAATCATAAATATATATGCGAAATGGAACCATATAGTGTTGAATAGTTCTATACTCTAGTATATCTGTAATAATACATTATACTATATGTTGTCTATGCATGTAATTAAAAAAATCTGTCTGTTATTTACATTGTACCACTACATTGACGTGTTATCTCTGTGGTAAATTTCTTGTTGAAGCCAATAATTTTCTATTCTATTATTATATTGCTCTGAACGTTATTTCACTCAAATACAGGGTCCGGCAGTGAAACGGAAAGATTTAAAAAAGTTATCACAATCTAAGGTATAACAATTACATTAGTGGAATTTAGTGTTGTAGCTTAAATGTTTATTTTTTCTTGAAAATTGTATCAGCTAGATGTCGTCCTTGGTTTCTTACACATTCTCGGAGTCTGTTGCAGAACCAACCCATAACTTTACGTAGCATATCCAATGGAATATTGTCGATCTCTTGACGAATTGCGCCGGAAAGCACATTGCGCACCAACGGCACTATCTGCGTTTTTATAATATGCCTTTACGGCGAAAGCGCGCTGCGGACCCGTCCAACGCAACATGCCTACTAAAAATACCGACTGTCTAGACGCCCCCACGGTACACATACACTGAAGATAGGATGTTGCGCATGTGGGTGGAGCTTCGTGACGTCACCCAGAGAGTTGTCGGCTCGTGGTTACCAGCGACGGGATTGTCGTAACGTTACTGCAGTGCACGTGTATCGTGGTTAATACTATATAGTGCGATTTGTTGGTGATTTTTGGTGGGTTTGTGACTTGTTGTATTAGTTATACATACTTTATAAACTCTGTGATGTTAGTAAATTGATAAAAATGCGGTGTGCTTTTGTTGGGATGTAATTCCGACAACCAATCTAAACTGAATCCTTGCAAAGACATGAAGTTCCACAGTTTTCTTCAAGACCCAAACCTTAGCAAAAAATGGCTACATCATACGAAAAGAAAAATTAAATACAATGTAAAAAGCGCTAGGGTTTGCTCGAAGCATTTTAGTGAAAGTACCTATAAGGTCAATTTGAAACATACCCTTTCGGTTTACACCCCTAAAAGATATCGTGCTCTATGGAAAATTTACCCAAGTCTCTATCATCACCTGGACCATCTACATCTGTTTAAGTTTAAGCTATAGCCTGTGAGATAGGAATAACAAGGTTGAAATATTTTATTTACACCCGCCATTTTGGTTTGTATAAAATGTTAATGTCGATTGTGTCACTCGCATCGCTAAGACGAATCCAACGACACCTCATATGTGAAAATCTATCAAGCCGTTTGAGCTGTAGGTGAAAATATGCACGTTATCCATATCAATCTAAATGAGAGTCACTCTCTGCGTGACGTCACGCGCGCCGGCGGATTAAAATCGAACAGCGGAGCATCCGGCACTGCCACCTTCTATTTAAATCTCCCCGTTTCACTGCCGGATCCTGTATAATTCTCTACCTGATAGACTGCAGTAATACCTGTAGCTGTATGATCGGTGTCCCACTATCCACCTCGGGCTCGACTATCCATAAACACTCTCTGGCAGGTGGTCCTCCCCAAGGCGCCCTGTACGCCCTCTTCGAACTGATGCCCTGACCTCTCGTCCCTTTCAGCACCCCTCTCGCCTCGCACTGGTAGTAGCATTGGCGGCCGTTCCTCGGGTCACCCCAATAGTTAGGGAGGCAGCGTTCACAATGTTCGCCGTCGGTATTATCGAGGCAGAAACAGATACCGGTTTCAAGGTCACAGACGCCCTGTGATATGTCGCCATGACCATTGCAATCACACTGCAGACAACCTAATAGGTAAAATTTTGGATTAAGCTACTGCACTAGTACAAATAGTCTTTTCCAAAGGTATTGATACGATTAACCATTCCTTACTAGATAGATAGATAGATTTTATAGGTTTCGTGGAAGTGCGCTCAAAACGATGTCCAATTATTTGTTAAACCGTACTTGAACAGACAATGTCATCTGGTAAACGATTTTAGCTTCTGAACGGCCTATAAGCTCTGGTGTACCGCAAGGGTCAATATATCGGCTATTCCTGTTTCTCTTTTATGTTTCCGATCTAGATAAATCTATTGAGCACTGCAACATACATTTTTAGCCGATAATCCCCCGCTTTATTAATAATAATAATATTTATTACCCTCATTAAACCGTATATACAAAGTTTACAAACAAAAAAGCCTTAAGAGAATAAAGGGCTACATCAGCTTGCCCCTTAAAGAAGCAGCTGCTAGAGCAAAAAAACAAACAAATTTAAACAATTCTATAGTAATACAAATCGCTATTAAGACATTGATAATTAATAATGTTTTAATATTAAGAAATATAGCGAAGTATAGTAAGGAGAGAAATGGAAATTTAGAGTGAGAAGAGAAAGCGAGGGGAAAGAGTAGAAGAGAAAAGGGGGAGCAGGAGATGTGTTTTCTATGATATCGGAGACAGTAAATCCCTTCTAAGGTTAAATGTAGCTACCCAGAGAGAAAAATCTTTAGTTTTGAATTTATTTACCAAAAAGGCAATTTGATATGAGAATGATTTCTTAAATGATTCTTTATTGTGTGATGGTATTGTAATCAAATTAAATCTTCTAATGTTTAGATTATGTACATCAGTCCGGTAACTAATTTTTAAGTGAAGATAAGGGGGGCTTTTATATTTTATAATCTTGTAAAAAAAGGGAGTAGAGTGCAAGGTACGCCTCTAAGCCATATTCAACCATCCCAGTTCAGGTAGTTTGTGGGATACTCTTTGTCTACCCCTGATGCCAAATATCAGTCTCAGACATGAATTCTGAGCTTTTTTAACCCGTTTTAGTTCCACAATATCAAGGAATGGGCCATACACCATATCATCAAAGTTGAAGTGGGACAACACTAAAGCTTCGCAGAGCGTGGCTTTAGTATTTTCTGATAGGTAATGTCTATGGGGGTAAATTATTTTTAACATTGAATATGCTTTTCTTAGGCACAGAGTAATGTGCTCTCTAAACTTAAGTTTAGAGTCAACCACTAAGTCCAAATCCTTCACGGAATCCCTGAATGATATTATATTGCCCCCTAGTTTGAGCTTAATATTATTTTCTAATACGTTTCTGTAGGAATCACTAAAAAGCAATATAGCCCTCGATTTACTAGGGTTTATCTTTAATAAGTGATCTTCAGAGGTTTTGAGAAGGCTATTCAAGTCGCTTGGTTATAAGTTCTGACAGATCAGGTTTAAAAGACACATTCATTTGAGTGTCGTCAGCATAAAGATGATATAATAACTTAGCGAATTCATGAAATTAAAAGTATATATTCTATACAATAGTGGACCCAAAATACTGCCCTAGGGCACCCCTGATGTAATTGTAACTGTATCTGATATGTTCCCGTCCAAAGTCCAGATAAAAACAAAACTTATTAATGATTAATAAACTTTGACGAAATTTAAAGTAAAATTGAGAAATCACTTGTTAAATCTACAGTTATAGGTTGCCCAGCATTTACATCATACACCATATGGCTTGAATTTACTAGTTCTAAATTGTTTACAATTATTCTGTTTATGTAGCCAAATGTGCTAAATAAATCTTTCTACTACTACTACTACCTTGCTCGCTAGTAGCATTTCCGTAACTCCCCGGCTGGCACAAATCACAGAACTCGCCCATCGTGTTTTGCTGGCACTCGTCACAAAGCCCAGGTCCAGCAGTGCACGTGGAGTGGCCGTTGCAACCGCAGTTTTTACTGCAATCATCGCCATACCATCCTAGGTCGCACCTGCACCGATATTCCGGCTCGCCTTGGCAAGCACCGTGGACGCAAACATTCGCACACGTTCGCACACACGTGTTGCGACCATCCCCGATGTAACCTGAAACAATAGCAAAATATCAATTCTGGATTTATTTATTTATTTATAATTCACAACAGGTTATGCCCAATTACAGGATACATGCCAACAACGAAAATAAATCAATAACTTAACAACAGCGGAACATAAAAATGAAAAACACAAATAAATGTATACAAGTGTGCCAGTATTTGAAATGTACCAATCTCGGTAATAATTCAATACAGAGTTCTATCAATCACAAAAAATATCACAAACGGAACAAATAGCATTGAAACTGGTGATTTTTTAAGAGGTATAGGATTTGATTTTCAAAAAAAAACACAAAAAATTTGAAAAAACGATTAAATCTTTATTTGAGTCGATAGAACGGTCGATATAATTTAATGTTTAAAGATTATTTCATGTAAATGTTGGCCGCGGCTCCGCTTTAGATGGCCCATGCGCATGTGTCCAATTTTGGCACACTCTCTCCAACATATCGGCCGGTATCTCACGAATAAATGCTTCAATATTGGCTTCCAGTACGTCAATCGTTGCTGGTTTATCCCTGTAGACATTAGCCTTAACATGGCCCCACCAGAAATAGTCCAACGCCGTTAAATCACACGATCTAGGCGGCCAATTGACGGGCCCCAAACGTGAGATAAACTGTTCACCGAACTCGCCTCTCAATGGGGCCATTGTTTCGTGTGCGGTGTGGCATGTGGCACCGTCTTGTTGAAACCACATGTCAGACAAGTCCAGCTCTTCCATTTTGGGTAAAAAAAAAGTTTGTTATCATCGCACGGTAGCGCTCGAAATTCACAGTTACGTTCCGGCCATTGTCGTCTTTGAAGAAGTACGGCCCGATGATGCCTACCGGCTCATAATCCACACCAAACAGTGATTTTTTCGGGATGCATTGGTAGCTCTTGCAATGCTTCTGGCTGGTCTTCACTCCAGATGCGGCAATTTTGCTTGTTAACGTACCCATTCAACCAGAAATGAGCTTCATCGCTGAACACAATTTTTCGATAAAAACGTGGATCTTCCTCCAACTTTGCCAGCGCCCATTCACCAAATTGGAAACGTTGTGGGAGGTCGTGTGGCTTCAATTCTTGCACCAGCTGTATCTTATAAGGTTTTACACCCAAATCCTGTCGCAAAATTTTCCACGTAGTGGAGTAACAGAGGCCCAATTGCTGCGAACGGCGGCGAATCGACATTTCACGATCGTCACTAACACTGACGGATACAGCCGCAATATTTTCTTCAGTCCTCACTCTACGTCTGCGTGTTGGTGGTAGAATGTCCAATAATGTAAACTGGGTTCGAAATTTAGTCACAAGCTTCCGAATCAGCGATATCAGCGAAGCTCGATCAATTTCTGACGCAATAGTCTAATGTTTTAAATGTTGTATTGTAAAACGACACCCAGCTCCTTGAAAGTCGAGGTCCGCTCAAGCAGGTTACCATCAACGTTGATAATTATCGTAAACGATAGGATGTAGTTTCCTAGTCAATTACATTGAAATATTAATATAAAGTTAATAGTTAGAGCAACATAAGTAGATAAAGTTCACCCAATGAGATTATTAATAACTACATAAATTTTCAAATCATCAGTATAAAGAATGTAGATGCATGCATGGTAAAGACATCGATTAAATCATTAATGAAGATTATGAACAACAAAGGTCTTAAATTGGACCCCTGAGGTACACCAGATGTTGCAGTACGAGGGACGTCTTTTAAGTTTTGCATATAGAAACATAGTAGGCCGCGCGGATCGGACGTCAGTACTGACTCTTAACCTCACTCTTTACTAAACTTAAATTCAAAGTTTCACAACAATACGTGCAGTTTTCTCATTACAGTGAATTTTTAAGTGTCACTAAGTCATTAGAAAAATGGAACTCAACCGAAAACATTTTCGTGCCATAATTTATTACAACTTTCAGAGACAATTATCGCAACAATAATGCCTTGCTGAGTTACTGTCGGTTTTCGGCAACGAAGCGCCACGTCAGTCGACAATTTTCCGTTGGTATGGAGAATCCAAACATGGACGGGTGAGTCTTAGCGACGATTCCAGGGTGGGTGCACCAAAAACGGCAGTCACCCAGAAAAACGTCGATGCTATGCGCAAACTCATCATTGAAGATAGACATGTGACATATCGCGAGATAGAGGCGTCCTTGAAGATCTCAAAGACCTCAATTCAAAAAATTTTACATGAAGAATTACGAGTAAGAAACTTAGTTTCTCGTTGGATACCCCACCTGTTGATTGAAGAGCAGAAAGCAGCCAGGGTTAATTGGTGTCAAAAAATGCTGGACCGTTTCAATTCCGGAAACTCAAAAAATGTGTACAGCATTGTTAGTGGTGATAAATCCTGGATTTACTGTTATAAACCAGAAAATAAACGACAGTCGGCTATTTGGGTGTTCCAAGGTGAAGAAAAGCCAACAAAAGTCATCCGTTCTCGAAGTGTTTCGAAAAAGGTGGTCGCGAAATTTGTGTCAGAAGCGGGTCATATTGCAACAATTCCTCTTAATGAGCAAAGAACTGTTACTGCGGATTGGTATACCACCATTTGTTTGCCAAAGTCATCACCCAGCTTCGAAAAATCAACCCCGAAAGAAGAATCATCCTCCACCAAGACAATGCAAGCTCGCACACAGCCCAAAAAACAAGGCAGTATTTAACGGAAGAAAACGTGGAGTTATCGGACCATCCTCCATATAGTCCCGATCTAAGTCCTAACGATATCTTTACTTTCCCGAAAATTAAAAACAGACTGCGTGGTCAAAGGTTCAAGTCACCAGAAGAAGCAGTCGACGCATTCAAAAATGCCGTTTTGGATCTGCCAGCAAACGAGTGGAATATGTGCTTCGAAAATTGGTTAGAGCGCTTGCAGATGTGAATTAATCTTCGTGGAGAATACTTCGAAAAACAATAAAGTCATTTAAAACTATTACCTACCGTGTTGTTTTATTTCTATGTAACTTAAAAGACATCCCTGTATAAAGGGATACTGGTAGTCTTACATTGACCCGCCAAGAACGGTGACTACTACTATAATTGCTTTTAGCTAAAAATCTATTTAGGTCAAATCAACTATTTAGAAAAACTGAGCTTAAGCAAGGCGTCCCACTACTTGTAATATCAGGTATCCTGCGATTGCTGCTATTTGAGAAAGACCATTTTCCGTATTCTTCAATACCCAAAATCACGAATTATGCAAAATTGTTCATATTCTGTACCGTTAATAATTGTGTACTTTCGGTTTTTGCCTTATATAATGTATTCCTGTTTATGAACAATACTAATAACTGGGCGATTCTCGTCGCCACATAGGTAGTATTTCTGCTCAGTTGTGAGTACACATAGTACGATTGATTTCTGGAATATGCTTACCAGGGAAAAGAGTTCGCGCCAACGTATTGGTTTGTCATTTTGGTAAGCAAATGTATCCAAAAGAATGCACTAAAACTACGTAATTTTGGAAACAAACGCTGCCATGTAAACATATAGTCTATGATCGTTCTCTAACATATTCTAATTCGTCGGGAATAGCCAAGCCATATATTAAGGTCGTTTTAATTTTGACAACCGATAGTCCACCCAATGTGATTAGTCTCGCCTGTCCCATCAAAAGAAGTATTCAAATTGTACAGACAAAATTTACAAACATAATATTTTTGACAATAAATAAAAACCTTTTATCTAGAGGCACATTTCTATTGAACGACAGGTCATCGGGGATGACAAAACGTTTGCTACAGCCAGCAGTTAATCTGTTATTGCTAGAATCATAAACAGTCACTGGAGTAATTGCAAAAAGTTTGGTTGACTCTGGATGATCAACCACTGCATACATTGGCATGAAACTATATTGAAAACAAGAGTTTTTTTATTCCATGAGGGGCACTGATTGTCGAATGATGTCAACAACACGATCACTGAAAGTTATGGTTATGAAACTTATATTTAGGTATTACCGAAAAACTGCAAATTAAAAGTTATAATATACTGAAAAAATTGTAAAAAAATATCTAAGATTAAAATCTATAAGAAATCACCTCAAGAAATTATCATAATTGAATTCAATAAGTCAGCACTTACCTTTCCTACAATGACAGCTGAAAGATCCATCCGTATTTGTACAGATTGCCTCGGGATGACAATCATGTAATCCCAATCCACATTCATCTACATCAGGGCACTGCGCATACGCCCATTTGGCCTTATGACTTTTCAAAACTACAGAACAGTTTGTCTGCGGTTTGTTAAAGTCTCCCTGAAGAAAAATTAACGTTATTAAAAACTGGTATATTCAATTATATACACGGTGTCCGCAAAGTTGGGGTTTTCCTTTACACGACGTGTAGATCTTGAAAACATAAGCAATTTTTCTTAGTACCATATACACCAATGTCTTAAAGGAACCGAAATAAAGGGCTCTGCAACATCAAAAATATCTGAATACCGTCCTGTAGCCGCGACATCCCGAGTGGTACTAGGACACTAGTTCAACCTGACGACAGAACTGGGTCGGGGTCAGTGTATCAGGTCAGTATGCAACCTTCAACCGACGGTTACGGTCACGCGTGTAGAGGTAATCGCGTAGACGAGAATCCCTCAACAAGCACTAGAGACGTGGCTAGAGAAGTGCAAGTATCAAAAACTAAAGTTGCGTGAAGAGGGGCTGTATCCGTTTCACGTCCAACGTGTACAAGCCCTTCAACCTGACGATTTTCCAGCAAGAGTGCAGTTTTGTGAGTGGTTGTTGCATCAACATGACAATAATCCGGACTTTTTGAAGTGCATATTGGTGTCAGACGAATCTACGTTCACGCGTAATGGGGTGAATAATTTTCGGTGAATGTTTGGGCATGCATGGTGAACGGTATGCTCATTGGACCATTTATTCTCCCAAATCGATTGGACGGAATGCAATACCTAGACTTTTTACGCAACATTTTGCCTTCCTTGTTTGCCTGCGCCTGCTCGGTAGCGCATCAGCTGATTTCATTTTCTGTTGGAGCGGTATGATTTCGGGCAGAGACGTACTTAGCCCTTCTCGTCAACTGTAGAGTGAGTACTTTTTCCTTTACTTTTCTTTCTACTTGGTCGCCCTCGTTTCACTACACATTACCTTTGTTGTTTCAAGGGTAGTTGTTTCTGAAAAGGAAAACCCCAACTTTGCGGACACCCTGTATATAACTAATTCCTATAACCATATTTCGTATAAATAAAGTATTCTTAATTGGCGGGGTACGACTCCGATTTATAGCCCTCAAGGAAGGGGACCCTAGGAACAATGGATTTCTCCTTGGAAACAATGAAACAATGACGCTTCTTGAGAAACGTTCAAGGGAAGATTAAAATTTTCATTTCACAGTAGGCTGTAACTGTTGTCATCGATGACAGGAACATTTCTTTTTTTTGCTGCTGGCCGTATCTAATTAGCATTTTGATGATAAAATTGGAACGATTTGGTTTAATTATGCATGTCTTTAACTTCAACTGTTTGTCCAAATTTCCACACCAACTGACGAATGGTGTTGACACTGGGGACACTATTTCGACCGAAATCTTGTGGTAGCTTCCAAATCGTTGCAACAATCCACTCATTATTTAAGTAAAACGTTTTAACAATACGGACGCGTTGTGGGATCGTGTAGCGCCCCATGATGAATTGGACACGTGCTTTAAACAACTACTACGGCGCCACCTACTGAAATGCGTGTATCAAAAATGACGCGCAATTTAAATAAGTCAGTTTTACATACTCGAAAAATAAGCGACCATTCGTGGATATGTTTTGAGGTGGAAAATATGTTTAATGAGAGAGAATTAAGAGAAATCACAATTATTGACTTTGAAACGTTACGAGAGTCACTCTTACAAGCCAATATCACTGACATTTTTAATGATGCTGACACTTCTCAAAAAATATGGATTGTATGGAGAACTGCATGAGAGACACACAAATTAGGAAAGTGGTAGAGGAAAAAGCCAACACTCTGGTTTTCACAAATATTTCTAGACTCTAAAAACGTTTATGATGACTCAAACTGAGGAGATTGGGTACAATATAAGAAATCAAGAAACAAGTGTTTAACAAATCTTAGGAACGAAAAGAAAAAATATTATGAAAACAAAATCGATAAAAATAACAGTAAAATGATGTGTAAGACACTAAAAAATATTGTATCTCCCAGTAGGAAGGATGAATTACAAAGAATGTGCTTCAAAGATGGTGTAGTAACACAAAAAATATTGATTGCAGAACGTATGAATGCTTATTTTATAGAAAGTATAAATGAGATAGTGGAATCAATCGAAGATGGGGATCCAAATCTATGTCACATGCAAATTACTTATAATTCTTTTATGAGACAATTAGAAACAATAAATATCAGCCCTCTTTCAAAAGCTATTACAATATTGAAATCGAATAGAAATCCTAGTGAACACCTTTCAAAAATGGTTATGAAGGAATGTTTCAACATTATTGAAGAGAAGTTATTATTGTTAGTGAATCACTATGTAATGTAGGGCGAATTTCCTTCAAAACTAAAATGTTCTACCATTACTCCTGTTCCAAAAGTGCAAAATTCGGAGTTGTATACAAACATGCGGCCAGTTAATGTATTGCCAGATGTCCAGAAGCTCTCAGAAGGAATCATATATGAACAAGTCGTTGAATATATTGAAGAAAATAAGATATTGACAAAATTTCAGAAAAAAGTATTCTACTGAAACAGCAATTCAAACGGCAGTAGAAGAATGGATGCGAATATGGATGAAAAAAGTTTACAGTAACATTGTTCTTGGATTTCAAGAGAGCATTTGAGACTATTGACAGGGAGAAATTGTTAACGAAATTGCATTGCTATGGATTTCAAGGTTCAGTACTCAACTTATTACAAAATTATTTAATCAATAGAAGTCAAAGAACTAATATTGGCAATACATTATTAAACATCAAAAACACTTCGGTAGGTGTGCCACAGGGTAGCAAATTAGGTCCATTACTATTTATTTTATATATTAACGATATTCCTGATATTTTACAACACTGCAAAATTCAAATATTTTCTGATGATACATTAATATATTTATATAATCAAATAAAGACATTGAAACTGCAATAGAGCTTTTAAATAATGATATGAAAAACGTAATAAATTGATTAAATGTAAATAAACTTAAACTGAACACAAACAAAACAAAATATATGCTAATAGGAAAATCTTTAGATCAAAATTCGATAAATCTTACAATTAATCATGAAAAAATTGTGTCAATCGAATCATTTAAATATTTGGGCATATTCGTAGACAGTAAATTAAAATTTGAAGGGCACTATGAATATATTGTTTCAAAATATCCAAGTAAATAAATTACTTTTAAAATTACAAATATTACAAAATAAAGTTATGAGAATCATCTTAAATAAAAATAAATATACTAAAATAAATTGTATGCTGAAAGAACTACAATGGTTAAATATCAAAAATTGCATAGCCTACTTGGTTTTCATTTTCATATTCTTGTTAAAAAATCATCTACCAAATCAAAATCAAAATTTTATTGTATTGAACAATGAGTGCCACAATTATTATACTAGAGGAAGTATAGACTTTCATTTACAAAACTGCAGTAGCAATATACGAGCAAGTCAATATTTCAAAAGGGATTGTATGAATTCAATAAATTAAGTAATGATATCAAGATGTGTGTCAGTTTGAAAATGTTCAGAGGGAAATTGAAAAAATATCTCGTGGAAAACAGAATTCATATTAGTGAAATTTTGTATAAAAATATGTAGTCTTGAACACATAATATATTTTGTGATATATTGTGTAATATGGATATTATGGATATTGCAGCATTAATGCTAAATAAATCTGAAACAAACAAAATATATTGGCCACCGTGTATAAAAGTAAACTTTACGATAAATCGTAAACTTAATTCACATGACATTTGTTATGCTCCATATATGTCTTCCTATAAATTTCGTTCGATCACACGAGAACTTGAAATGTATCTAAATGTATGTGTGAATGCAGACTAAGCACAGAATAAATATAATTACCTGTACGCACATCCCGCTCATAGGATTGGTCGAATTGTAGCACCAGCCACAACTAAGAGCGCCGAGACACGTAGAGCAATTCGTATGCATTGAGCACGTTTTACATTGCTCCACTGTCTTCCCTGAAGGTGAGATTCCGTTTTCCTGGCGTGACACGAGAGGAAATGCTTGGTCAAGCCACTCGCGACACAACCCAAACTGGTATTCACTGGTATAAATGGAGAAGCTGAAGCACTGCTGGGTCGCTTGACACCACACGCATCGGCCTTTTTGAGCCAGACATGAGCCGCATTCGTTCCTGAAAAATATATAAAAATATTTGTGATGGGAATAGTAATCCCCGGTAACCTGAACAGTAATCCATTAAAATGAAAGAGCTCTCACACAAAGAGCAACTTTGTAATGAGTTGTCAATGTAAATTTTATCTCCTGTGCTCTTCTTCATTTCTTTTTCAAAATCCCCTTATTCTTCCCTTTACAATGACTATTTCTTGCGCTCTTCCCGACTACAAAGTTACGACTAATAGGACATAATCAACAATGCTTCAATTGATGTGCAAATAGAGTTTCCCATATGAAAACGATATATGCTACAACCTTCCTGGTTTCTACCTGCTTTTTATCAACAATGGAGAATATTCGCTGGAAAAATATAGGACATTTATTTCCAAAAAATGTTTCCCTCGAGGAGTAAGCTCCAGTTGTTATTGGATCAGCCCCATATATCATCCCTTTACGTTCTCCCCAATACCAGAAATCCATCGGATTGAGATCAGGAGATCTTGCTGGCCATTCTCGAGGATCAGGAGCTTTTCGACCGATCCAGCGATTTGGATAATGTTCATTCAAATACTGAATGACGCCTCTAAAATTGTGTGGTGGTGCCCCGACGTGAAGAAACCATAAATTCTGTCTCCGTTGTAATGGCATGTTGTCTAAGGTCTGTTCCAAAAGTTCTGGTAGGCTATTGGCTGGAAAGCTAAGGTAGCCTTCCCTTGACAACTTTGGGGGTAACTCGAAAGGGCCAATTACCTAATCGTCAAGAATACCCACCCAAATATTTATTTTAAAACGTTGCTGGAAATGACCTTCACGAATGGTATGAGGGCCCAAGTGTGAGTATTATGGAAATTTAATATCCCGTCTCGCATAAAAGTACGCTAGAATGTTTTTAAAAAAATCCGGATTTTCAATGTTTTTGTGCAAAAACCACTGACAGAATGTTAGTCTGCGAGGATAGTCTTCTGGTAACAAGGCCTGCACTCGTTGTACATGGGAGGGATAAAGCAAATTTTCCCGTAGGATTCTATGGACTATGGTATGCGATAGTGCTACGCGGCAGCATAATTCCCGAGAGCTGATATCTGCATTGATTTCGACGATATTTAAAATTTGTTCCTCCTGCTCTACATTAACCTGTCTTTCACGAGTGCGAATATTAGTGGGCTGAACACTTCCTGTATCTCGAAGTCTTTGGGACACTTGCACAAAAGTCCTTCTGTCTCGGTTGGCGAAATCTGTCGCGATGAATTTGAGCTGCAAGATTTGAATTCTGACGAGCTTCACCGCAAACTAACAACATGTCGGCGAACTCTTTATTCGAGAACATTGTAAGTAAACACGACGACGTACGCGAACAAAAACAAAACAACAGGCTCGATGACCGATAACTAACCACTATTACCGTTTGCGATCGATTGCCGGTTCGATAAGAGTGATGATGACCGACGCGCTGTTGTCATGTGTGTTTTAAATATTCAATTCAATGAAACTTACTTACTGCCTACAAATTTTGGCTTATCTTAGAAAAACTTAATGCCATTTATTTGTTAATTACCCAATTTCAAAACGTTTTAGATTAGATTATAAAGATTAGTATGATTGTGGTGATTGCAGTCGATATAAAGCACTTAAAGTTGTAAACTATAAAGCCATTTAGACAAAAATCTATTGACTTTTGGACCATGGGTCATATGAACTTTTTGACTTGTATTGACCCCCCTATTACCCATTTCAATAATGACTACCATAACGTTTACACCCTGTATATATTTTCACATTAATAAAACACGTCATTTAGTATCTATGCTTACCTCTTATAGCATGGCACTGGGCATTGCTGCAAGCTTATAGCAGCATCTGTCCTTTGACCTATCCTAACACATTTAGCTTCTTCTATCCACCATTCGCAAAGTTGAGTTCCTATGCAAGATTCGCAGGTTATAAAATTTGAGCAGTTCGAACAGCTGCTCGGCTGGAGAGTTAAATATCTAGAATGCAAACAAAACGTGTACTGTAATATCTGAAAGTTATCCTGTGGTTTTCATGCTGACTATTTCCCTCGTCTCAATTTCTACCAATCACAAACGCGCAATTTTGAATTACATGTGGTTTCTAGATGGAAAAATTGTATGACAGCACCTGTCAGCAGTTTTTTTAGAGTTTACCCGCGGCAAAACTTGACAGCTGTTGTCACCAAAAATTACAATACCATTGATAACAAGTAATTATGGTCTCCTAGGACACCAGAAAACGACGCTGAACAATTTTTCTAATTTGATTGTCAACAAATTTTGTAAGCTATGTGTATGCAGAATAATCTGTTACTCATGAAATACTCTTGTCAAATACCATTCGGGCATCTAATTTTTTCCTGTGAAATAAATCGAAAAAAAAACAATGCAGTGATATTTTTTACAAAAAACATTCGTGCAGGTGCAAAAATCCTCGACTTCGGCTCTGATTTTTGTTGCCACCAGCACTCATGCTTCTTGTTATAATATTACTTAGCAAAGTGTTTTTTTCGATTTTTTCGGAAAAAATAGATGCCCTCATGATATTACTTATGATAATCCCCCATGTTTGTCTCACCGGATCAAACCACATATTTGTTTAAAATTCTAAGTGTTCATCCCAAAACACCTGTCTTCTACAGAGTTCGTTCAAAGCGCATTTTATAGCGAAATACACGAATTTACTTTGCCGACGTGAATCACAAACCATTCCCAAGGATAATTGTTATTTTTATGCGCTAAACGAAGAGTGACTTGTTTTTCTTATAAACAAAATCAAACATTTCATATACGTAACTGAACATATTCGCTACGATATTCGAAAAATATACGTTATTATAGACATTTTAAAACAAAGCGGATGTATCTATCACCTTTTGTTACGAAGAAAACAATTTTTTTCAAGATTTCATCATACTCTTGTGTATACATATTAAGAGCTGATATTTTTACACGGTCACAGATGAGCCTTAAAGTTTATAAAAAAGGATATTCCATACTGAAATGCGCTGAACTGTTTATAAAGTTAGCACGCAAACTGAAGACACAATTATGTTTCAAACTGTCTTAGCCTAGTTAGTATGTAGCATGTGCTAAATGGCTGCATTATAGATGACTGCATGACTTTGTCAAATAAGTAGCTTACGTAATCCAGTTTCATTCCGAAAAAATATAATTCCCTAGACATTTTTTCTATAAGTATCAAGATAGTATACGCCTGTTTTCGAAATCTCGTTCGATTAAAATGACTACGAGTTCAAAGTGTTGGAAAGAAAACGAAAAAACAGTAGACAAATATCAACCGAACTGACCGTCTTAAAAATTAGGCCAAATGCTCGTTATTAGTCCCTAATACATTATTTAAAGATTCAGTATTGTATCTTGTATAGTTTTTAAGAGTACTGTAGTTGTTTATGACATTTGATATACGTTCGCTTGACATTTGTCAGTGTCAAGTATAGTGATATAAGGATCCAGTAAGCCAAGAGGCATCGTAGCGTAAAGGGAGCGGTTGATGATTTAAGAATTTAGCTATCAAAATGAGTTAATTAGAATAAACACTCTCGTCAGAGTTGATTAATTGAATTATACAAATTACCATACCTCCAATCTCCGCCCAACGAGCAACTAATCTTCTCATCTTCCAACCTCGATTCGCACGTGTTGGTGAGGTCGCACCATCCGCACTGTGAGTCCGTCAAACAGTGCAGGCAGTTCTTGTACTGATCGCAGCTCCCATTGGCATATGGTTCCAAGTATTCGAACGTGAACACTTTCGGCGTATCTTCGGAGTCTTTGTAATGCTGTAACTCCATTTTGCTCTGCTGGATGTGGGAGTTGTAGGCGCCTGTGTTCACCATCTTTTTGGACTTGAAGTCGACGGGAGTTCGGTCCAGGGTTAGGTTCTCGGGCCATCTGTACACCATAATATTTCAATATTTGGAAACCAGTAATGCAGGAGTCAAAAAATAAAAATCGTGCAAGCACTGCCATGTCAGGAGCTGCCAGGTATTCTTCTCGTTATCGCGTTGTGATCTCTATTGGTCACTGTTTGTCAGAGCGGTGCGTAGGATCTTTGCTTTGGGTTGGATTGTAAGTCAGTAGGCCTTTCAGGTCTGGTTGCACCTATACCAGACAAAGTGCGGGAGAAATAAGGGAAGAAGAAAGAAAGGTAGGAGGGATAACAAAGAAAATTATTCGTGAATTTTAAGTTGGCTCTTGGTTGTTGAAGGAAAATTATAATTTTGGTTGGACCTAAAGTCGCACAATTTAATTTTGTTCACAGTGCGAGCCGCGGCCTTGTGTGCTTGCGAACTAGTTCGACTGTGTCGTCTACTGACTTGCGCAACAAAGTGTTGCTATGCGATTCCGCTTGACTACTAATTGTGTGTGACGCAATGGCAGCGATGCCCAATTTTGCTGCCGCTAGGGGTCAAACTGCCAAAGCAACAATTCGTGTCGCACTGCGCGTTTTCCACATCTGTAGCCCATGAATATTTTGACAGATTTGGAAGAAGGATAAGATGTTTGTAGCCTTAGATATGTGTGCCCACCAAACCAGCTCCATCAACTACTAGCTTCCTAGATTTCCCCTCAATATAGAGTAGCGGACAAAAGTTTGGAAACAAATATTAACATTATTATGAACTATTTTTGTAAAGACAAAAGTCTGGAAACATTTCAGTTTTGCCGTATTTATTCGTACTTTGATATTGCGTGCAGTAAATATTAACATCAGTGAGAATGACAAAAGAATTTTCAAAAGATTTAAGAGACAAAGTAATTGAATCATTTAGAGTGATGTCAGGAATGTTGACATTTCTCAAAGATTAAAAATGTACAAAGGGACGATTTCGAAAATTATTAGTGAATATCAAGAATACGGATCAACAGCAACGCGGTCCAGGTGCGGAAGACCGAAAAAAACCGATTATGTTTTAGACTGCTACATTAAACGTGTGTGCCATGAAGATCCTCGAATGCCAGCCACACAGATTTTCAAAAGAATCGTAGAAGAGGGTGCCGAGAATCTTTCTGTCAGAACAGTGCAGACACGCTTGGTGGATTTTGGGCTTTTTGGTTGGCGTCCAATGCAAAATTACTTGGCTTGAATTTGTTAAAACTCATCTAACTTGGACAGAACAACAATAGAATACAGTTTTATGGACCGGTGAAAGCAAATTTAACTTGTTTGGATTCTGATGGTATGGCATATGTGAGACGTCCAATACGAAAAAGATTCGACAAAAAGTATCAGTCGCCAACAGTAGAACACGGTAGAGGCAACATCATGGTTTGGGGCTGTTTTTCTAGTCCAATTGTTAAAATTGTTGGGAAGATCAAACAAAAACTTTACAAAGATAATCTTAGTGAACTTGCTCCCTTTTGCTGAAGAAGAAATGCCTTTACGATAAACATTCCAGCAAGATAATGATCTCAAGCATACCGCAAGACTAAAAAATGTTAATGTTCTTTCATGGCCTTCGTAATCCATGGACCTAAGCCTTATAGAACATTTCAGGGAGCAAGTTAAAAAACAACTGACAAGAAAAACTTTTAAAAATAGGAACGATTTATATGATTATATAAAAAATATTTGGCATAATATCCCAACAGACGTTTGTAAAAAATTGGTGTATTCTATGAGCAGGAGATGTCAGGCAATACTGCTAAAGGCAATGCTACCAAATATTAGCTAAAAAGTATTTTTTAAATCTTGAGTTATTGCATTTAATTTTGTAATAAAAAATATGTTTCCATACTTTAGTCGTCTCATTTTTGGTCATAAAATAATATGAAGGTATTTTAATGCTAGTCTGTAGTACCACAGCAAACACAAATTGTCATTTGTATCCTCAAAACTGAAAGCAAACTATATGAGAAAAAAAATGGTCCTTAATAATAAAGAATTAAAAATTAGCGCACTGTTTAACAATGACTAAGAATGTTTCCAAACTTTTGGCTGCTACTGTACATTTTACTTCCATTGCAGAGTGCTTTATCCACGATGCCTATATTATGAAAATGCATGTCACTCATTTACGTCGGTCTGTGTCTCTGTTCTGTTGGCAATTTTGTATCCGCGTAATCTCGAAAACGGTTAAACCAAAGCGTTACAGCTTTGTAGTTGTATGTCTTTCGACTTACTGATAATTTTTCAGTGCGCCCAAAAAATGTATATGAATCAAGGAAAATAAAAAAAATCAAACGTTTTTGCAAGTTTCTAAAATTTTCGATCATATCAATCATTAGAGGGCGTAGCAGAAAAACATGGAGCTGAAACATATTTAACCATTTGAAGGCTCGTTTCATAAGATGCGCTTGTTACGTTCAATTTTTCCGGGTAAAGCACCATCTATATCACTGTTATTTATTCGTGTATTCCGATCGTTTAAAAATCGTTTTTGGAATGTTTAAGAATATACGTTTACATGTTTTCTTAATTGTATTTTGAATCTTCGGGTTGACATTCCATAATAATGAACTTACTTGAATACGTTACATTCTTTCACTTCAGCAGACACGTTGGCAATGGTTTGATCGGATACTGTGAGTGTTGCTGAACAATAGCTGATGCAAACGTTCAGCATTTCACGCCAATTGGGAGGCAGACGAAGGAAGCCAAGAAGACGAGCCACCATCTCACCGCCGGAGAATGACAGATCTCCTCGAAGATAGGATGACATAGGACTGTTGAAATCCACCTTAAACAAAATACATAATATACTGTTTTTACGCCTCATCAAAACAAATACCAGATCGCAATCCTCGGATTCTCGGGCTCCTAGTGGCAGGCAATTATAAACAGCGATCGAGTGCTCGTCTTAATTTTGATGCAATCTAATTGAGGTTTGTATAGCATTTATGTGAAATATCACGTTTCTAGGAGAAGCAATAACTGCATCAGCTAGCACTCTGCAACTGAATCTTGGCGCTGACTGGAATATGCGTTAGCAGGTTATGTGCATTGTCAGTGATTGTGAGTTCATTTAAGCCCTGTTCGTACAGCAGTCGTCAACCTGTCAGTGATCGTCTACAAAATCCCGTCATAGAAATTCTATTCATGCTAAGTTATAAAGACAGAATTCACACGACCGGGTCCCAGACACAGTCACCGACCACTCTATGAATAAACCTTTAGACGACATTCAGCAGCTGAATGATAGTGAACGCAGCCGATATTACGTACTATATCTTTCTAGCTTATTCTAGATGTCATAAAGAATGAAACACACATAAGTCAATGCGATATAGAACCAGACATTTCCAAGGATTGGAACAATATAAAATATTGCAATCACTCAACAGTTATTTTAACCTCAAACCATTAAATGTAGTTCTAATCGGCAAACTTACTACTTGTCCGATTCGAATCAATTGCAAATAATGGAATATGAAGCAATGCAGACCATTACAGAGTTTATGTTTCTTTTGAAAATATTATTTAAACTTGCCAAAGAAAAAACAGATTTACTTAGTGACCGCTTAATTGAGGGTATATGTCTTAAAAACATCCTGTAAAAAACGACATCTCCTTACCGTTGTGGCATTAATAATGGCAACATTGTCTGGCTGTGAATAGTTCACCGGATGGTGATATTTGACGAAGGTTAGTCCAGGTCTTCGATCCAGTTCTCTACATTGTTCTGGTGCAATCACTTCCGTTCCTTTCGGACCCCACCACCCAGGAATTTGACTAGGACTGTCCTCTTGTAGACCGCACACACCATAATTGTCGTCTTTGTGATGACAGCGGGCATTTTGTACACACCAGGTGCATTCTTCTAAACCTAAATGTCAAAAACCCATATATAATAGGATCACTACATAGAAATCCAAAGCTTCAAATTTCATCAAAAACTCAAAATCAACAGCATTGTTCTTGAAGCACAAAAGGGCCAGGAAAAGTATAAAAACTGTTACGGCAATTTCAAATTTCAGTATCAGCTTATGCATCATTGAGAGTATAAGTACATCAGCAATCAAAGGTTGCTGCCACTATATATGAATTTCATTAAATAGAACTACAAAATTAGAGTTAATCAGCAAATATTAAGCAATTATACCAGCGTAAAAATAACGGGTGATTTTTTAAGAGGTATAGGATTTGATTTAAAAAAAAAAACACAAAAAATTTGAAAAAACGATTAAATCTTTATTTGAGTCGATAGAACGGTCGATATAATTTAATGTTTAAAGATTATTTCATGTAAATGTTGGCCGCGGCTCCGCTTTAGATGGCCCATGCGCAAGGTCCAATTTTGGCACACTCTCTCCAACATATCGGCCGGTAGCTCACGAATAAATGCTTCAATATTGGCTTCCAGTGCGTCAATCGTTGCTGGTTTATCCCTGAAGACATTAGCCTTAACATGGCCCCACAAGATATAGTCCAACGTCGTTAAATCACACGATCTAGGCGGCCAATTGACGGGCCCCAAACGTGAGGTTGTGGGAGGTCGTGTGGCTTCAATTCTTGCACCAGCTGTATCTTATAAGGTTTTACAGCCAAATTCTGTCGCAAAATTTTCCACGTAGTGGAGTAACAGAGGCCCAATTGCTGCGAACGGCGGCGAATCGACATTTCACGGTCATCACTAACACTGGCGGATACAGCCGCAATATTTTCTTCAGCCCTCACTCTACGTCTGCGTGTTGGTGGTTTAATGTCCAATAATGTAAACTGGGTTCGAAATTTAGTCACAAGCTTCCGAATAGCTCCCTCAGTAGGCTGACCAAATTGCCCATCAATTGGAAGCAGTGCTCGATGCACTCTCTTAACCGAGCATGAATTTTGATAGCAAAATTCAATAATTTGCAAGCGTTGTTCGTTCGTAAGTCGATTCATGGTTAAATTATAGACCAAACTGAACAAGTTTGACAATGACACAAGACACGATTTACGCGTCATCTTTCAAAAAGAGTCTTGCCAAAAAGATATTAGAAAAAAAAATCACCGATTATAATATGTATATTGTTATAAAAAGCTATTATAATATGATGGAAAATTCCGTTAATTACGTATTTTCTATAATTTCGAGTCACTTTAGGTATCATTTCTATCATCTACTCTCCTAATCTACAGTTCAAATAAATTTTCAAGATGTTAGAGACGTATATGCTTACAACTTTTTTCCGCATAACATTTTGTAACAATAGAATAGGATAGAATAGATAGCTACTTCAAACAATAATGAATATTATTTAAAAAAAATATGTTAAATTTAAAAAAATGTCGTCACATTAAACCAAAATAGTCTCTTCGAAGTCTCTTTTTGAAAACTTTAGCATTACTAGATGTTTTTACATTAATAGGCAGATTGTTGTACATTTTTAGACCTTCAACAAACATTGACTTTTCCAAACTTTTAAATTTAAATCTTTATATATGGAAATTTTCTTTTGATCTAATGTCGTAACCTTGCATTTCAGATCGTCTTGGTGTATGTTTAAAAAATTGAATGCCTTTAGCATATCCTGTATAGGGGTATACCTGCTATAATTTAACAAAATCCGCATACATTTATTCAATTGAATTTTAACATTGTAAAATGAGTAAAAATTATTGTATTGTAGACTATCCTTCTGCACCAGGGACTTAGACTGTCACAAATTCTACGAAAATACTCGATCTTTTTGCCTAATTTCCGACGTTAATTATAACGTGTTTGTTGAAAATTAGTTGATGACCTATTATAACATCTAAATATTTAAAACTTTCTACAAAATCAAGTACATCTCCCTCAATTTTCACTGGCATATTTAAATCTACCAATTTCTTGCAATTATTTTTCGAACCTATGATCATACATTTCGTTTTTCTCACATTTCACTATTCATGTCATCTAGAATTTCGTTACTTACTGAACCACTAACTGAAATTAAAAAGGTGTTTTGTCCAAAGAAATTTTGATGATAGTTAAAAATAATATTAATAGCATTTTCATAGATAAAACTGATGGGCAGGCAGTTATGTTACCTGCTCGAAGAACTGCTTCTTCTTTACCTAAAGATATTTTGAGTCTTCAATGACAGCTTTTAACAAGGGTAAAAAATATATTCAATTGGTCTTTGTTAATCATCATGAGTGGGTATTTTAAAAAAATAAATTGACGTTATGTGTGGAGCTGAAAATAGAGCCCCAATCTTTTATTTGAGCAGTTCCACGTCTACGACGTGTCTTTCGCCAATAGGCGAAAAAGATAGTAAAGTAAGGCTGTATAAATCATAACACGATCTACTAAGCAAAATATTTAATGGTCAGTACTTTGCCGTTGGTTGGTTTGGTGCTTACCTAGTTTGTGAGCAACGGAGACCATGGGTCTCCGACCTTTGGCAAGTCTTCCATGTACAAGACAAGAATGGCAGTCGCCTAATGCAGGGCACAGACCCGGACATCGTGTTGTTTGTAAGTTTGTTGTGCAGTTGGCGCCCACTGTTCTCCCATAGCACTGCTCGTCAGCAGAACACCTGGACAGAGAATGTACTACTACTTAAGGTGCACGCTCAGTGAGGAGAATGGAAGCGAAGAGAAGCGAAAATTTTCCGTTGGGTTCCGTGAAAAAGATCGAATGACAGACCGCACACGTTATCGCTCAATGTGCACGGAAAGGTGTTAGAATAATACAAATATCTTGCCAATTTGTAACCCTCTGGTTATAAAAATTTTGATTGTGGATTGATCGTGTTTCCTCCTACATCGATTTCGATAATTCATTTTCCAAACTCATTTCCACAACTGCATAGTACCTTTACAATGATGCTTATACCCGTTATACCCATACATAATATAGGGTTGTCCAATAGGGACGCAGGAAAGTAAACGTCAATTTGACATAGACGCCATCTTTGTTTTCTGTCACCGACATGTCATTTTGTTAGTTGAATGTTTACCATTGATCGCTATGGAGTCGTATTCGATTGAAGACCGCATTAAAAATCAAAATCATGTTCAGCGACGAAGCGCATTTCACTTTGAATGGGACGGTAAACAAGCAAAACTGCCGCATCTGGACGAACGAAAATCCCCGTGAGTATCAAGAGCAGCCGATGCATCCTCAAAAAGTGACTGTGTGGTGTGCATTGTGGTCAAAAGGCATCATCGGACCTAACTTTTTCGAAAATGCGGCCGGGGACGCCGTTACCGTCAATTCTGAGCGATATCACGTGATGATAGAGCACTATTTTTTGCCGCAACTTGAAGGAATGGATATGGACGATGTTTCTTTCCAACAAGACGGTGCAACATGCCACACAACCAACGTCAATATCTATCGATTGCAGTCCTTCTTCGGTGATCGAGTGATTTCGCGCAGAGGAAATGTGCCATGGCCACCAAGATCGTGCGATTTAACTCTCTTGGACTTCTTTTTATGGGTATATTTGAAAAGCAAAGTCTACGTCAACAAACCAGCCACCCTCCAAGAACTCAAAAACAACATCATTACCGAGATAAATGCCATAGAACCGACCATGTTGCAAAATGTCATTGAAAATTTCGACCATCGCGTGGACGTCTGTAAATCCAGTCATGGTGAACATTTGAGCGATATTATTTTTCATACATAAATGGTATAAATGAACCTTCAAATAAAGTACCCAACTTGATTTGAATATCAATCTTTCTTGTTTTAATATGCGTTTACTTTCCTACATCCGTTTTGGACAACCCCATATTAATGTATCTACATAAATTGTTAACTTATTAGGTTCCATTTTTTGTTTTGTTTAAAGCACAGCTAACACTCTGACCCAAGGTATTGACCTCATTACATTACACTACAAGGCACCACAATCCCAAAATCATTAGTAACTGAGATACTCCAAACTTCTTCTGCCATCTAATTTGCTTCGATTTATATTACAAATAAAGTTAAAAAACTCGAAGATCTGTTATTGAAAAAGCTTCTATCATATTTATTCTTCGAATCAACTTACCAACCACATTCTGGATCCGCAGAACACTCGGCATAACCTCGATGTTTGGTACAAGCTGCCTCCGGGTCGTACACTTCGTCGCGCCTACGTGCCGCCAGCTGAGCGGGGACCGAATAGGCAAGCAGGTCCCCATTTACGTTGCCGTGGTAACCGCCCACAAGCAATAAAGTGTGACCATGACGGACGCTGGAAGCATGCGCGAATACACCTGGAAATCGGAGTTATTTGTTTAGAGTTGTACTTGAAACAATAACTCAAGATTTCAGCGCATAAGCTATCACTGTAGTTCGAAGCATGGTTTCACCTCTGCAAGGGCGGATTTTATAGTATTCCGCGTTAAACAGGGTTACTGGTTATTCACCGTATGCCTTTCAGAGCGTGATAGAAACCTGAAATGCAATAAATTTGACCATATACGTATAGAGGGTGTTTTATTGGGAGGAGGAACATTTTAACCGAGGATACAGGCCGCTGAAGTAATTATAAATTTAATAACCTATGGTTAATAAGTCTGTATCCTCTTATAACCGATAGACACAGAATTTTATTAATTTGCCATTTCTTTAGGGCCTCGCAACTTTTTAATCACTGTTATATTTTTCTGAAATTTAGTTCGGTTACTCAACTTATGGAAAAGTACAGGAGGAGCTGAACGTGAAAATTCAAAAAGGCTATCAACTATATCCTTCCCGTTAAAATTCTGATTTATTATACTATTTTTTGCATTGTTGATGTCTTCATGTTATTTTAATAAAAAGGATATAAGAAAATATGGTTCTTTTTACTTTTACCACTGTGAAAATTTGCATAGTTTGATCTAATATTCACTCTTGATTGACGAGCATTTGGACTTCGTATCTCCTACAGTTTCCGAGATCTCAATGGTGAGGGTCGAATTTGAATCACCCTGTATATTACGATGTTATAAATACAATATGTTCCATATTTCATTTTACCCCACACAACAAACGAACATTTTTGGAAAAATTTGGAAAAGGGAACCGAGAACATCTTATGAAATAGTGATAACTATAATTCGCTATATACTCGTATTTTTAAACGCATATGTGGCGCGATATCACTTAAAGGTACTAAATAAGACATGTACAACACATTTTATCAGCAACACTGCTAATTACGGTTCTAATTTTATGAATAAATAGTTGACATTGCATCAATACCACGACATCAGTAGTTATCGTTTCAAGCAGAAAACATATTTGCTTCTGATAAATGATATCTACAAACGAATATTTGTTGATTCGATCGAATGGTATAAATAGTAGAGCAAAAACGTATGATTCGAAATAAACTGACATGGAAATAAAATCAAATAGACTGTCGCAGTAGTACAAAATATTTTGTAGATACTACTTAGCATAAATCAGACTTATTTGAATAAAAAGTCACTTACGGTTGTCCAAATACATATTTTCAGAATCTAAACTTTTGAATATACCTGCAGCTCCTCACGACTAAAAAATCTATCAAGACAATGAGCCGTATTTATAAAAGAGAAGCATATCCTCGGAAGCATAAGGTAAAAGTATAAGGTCTTGCTTCGGAGAAAAAGATAGAAGTATAAGCATATCCTAGTTTTCATATTCATTATGATTACCTTATACTCGCGAGGATATCCTCCAAGAAGAAATAAAAGGTTGACTGGAATTTGTATCTTGAGCGACATGTCCTGACTTGTTCCAGCTTGTAGTTGACGTGGGAGTTCGTTCACTCAGCATCACTGACAGTTGTACTCCAGAGCTTACACAGACCGTTCCGTATTTTTACTGGATACAGTTTTTTATCAAATTAATAAGCATGGCATCCTCAAGTGATGAGGTAGAAAATAATGGCAACGACCTGCAATTCATCGCAAATGAAATTGCCATTGCTCCCATTATTTTGCAAAAGTCACAAGTTCCAAAAATAAAAATGAGAAAGGACGATGCCTTGAAGAAGATGTTGAAACAATACGAATCAACATTCGGTAAACCATTAGATACTAAAGGCTTATTAAAAAAGATCAAAAACATGAAACAAGAGTATTATAAAACGAAATCAGAAATGATGCAGCGTCAGAAGCCACCTGTAACTTATGACGTTCACGAAAATAAAACTTATTATAACTTATAAATACACTTTAATCAGTAAAACTATTTATTATAATACTCAAGTTTCTTCTTATTTGTTGACCTAGTTGGCGGAGAGGAAGTTCGTCATTCTCGTGATTTCCTTCATCTTCATCTGGGTCGTGTTCAACTAACTCAAAGTCAGGATCACCCAAGCTCTTCGCACAGTATAGAGTACAATACAAGCAATAATTATTTTCGGCACATTTTCCAACTTTACGCGGCAAACATACTGTAGGATAGGGAACCGGCGTTTCAGTTGGCCTAAACAGCGTTCAATTATAACTCTTTCTTGTTTTAAAAGCTTATTATAATTTATTTCTGCACCTGGAGTAGGATTTCTGAAGGGAGTCATAAGGCATGGCTCAATACCATAACCGTCATCTCCAAGTAGTACAACATTTGCTTTATTTATTAGTTGTGATCTAGTCTGTGAATTTCTCCAAATTCTGGAATCATGCACTGATCCAGGCCAACTGACATCAACACTTGTGAACATCTCTCTGGCATCACAAGTGGCTTGCACATTTAAAGTAGGTTTCCCTTTTCTCTCACAAGGGTCGGAAATATTTCTCCGTCATTCTAACTATTATGTGTGAAATATGTCTAATAGGTGCGTAGAATCACCTATAAGTACACCATCGTCAAAAAATTTAAAGATAGCCTCCCCACCGCCTACAATCCCCCTCCCACCTACAAGCGCCTACCCCTACAACTCCCCCACCATCCAACTTTGACCCCTAAAAGAATTTACAAGAATATAGGGATCCTCTGAAACGTCAAAAAACGAAGTTTGATCGATTTTTATTTTTTTACTTTGCCCTTAGCTGCTCCGCCACTAGATAGAATTTCAAAAACTATAAAGCTTTTTCGTCCATAGCATAGTAGAAGTACATGTGTGAAAATTTTATAAAAATCCGACTGGTACTTTCCACCGAGGTCAATGATTATTTAGCGGACAGACACATGGACAATACTGCCTCGCCCAGTGGCGCAGGAAATAAAAAGGTACCTGTCAAACTTTTTACAATTTTTGTGACACGAACATTTTCCCGTTTCAGACATAATATTTTCATGGGGACAAACATTATAAAATGTTTATTTTGTTTCAAGAGTGTCTAACATACCATATCCTTTTCTATTTATAGCATTTGATTCCTAATTACGCGTGGGAAGGCAAATACAGGAAATTGGGTGACAGATTTGAGATTTGCAAGCATCAACCAGGATACGATTTAAGCAATTAGATGGAACCCAATACCATTTCAACTATAGTTCCGAATCAACCTAGGCGACACTAAATTTTCCAAAGTAACGGCCAATACAACTTGCCATGGATTTATGTTAATACGAGTATATTATGTTAATAAAATTATGCAACTAGTATCCCTATACAGCGGAATTTCCACTGCCTCCTTATATCTACATGAAACGCTTTCTCTGCATAGATCGTGATCAATTAATCAATTAATGCAAATCCATGTTATTCAAGCTAGTTTAATAAAGGACACGACTGTATGATGTTTGAGATTTATGAACATGATTATAGAGTAATTTACCAGTACATAAGTGCTGATAATTTCTTTATAAATCTTTTGCAGATAGTGATAATCTATTTTCCTCGTGTGTATTAGAAGTATGAATACTACCATTGTCTCCTGAAGACGAAAACAGTCAAGTGTTATAATAAGTGTAATCGCAAAAGCATTTTTATGAGATTGTTGTAAGGTCGACGAATTATCAAATATTTCAACTTAATGAGGAGCAATCGGAAAAGATAAAAGTAGATAGGTTACCTTTCTATCTTCCTTTTTCGCATCTACTTTTGACAGTCTGACCTCCACACAAACAAAAATTAGGCATCGCTGCCCTCGCGCCAGATTTATTTATTGAAAAATAAACGTCGTATGATTTTGAACTTCGACATTCTCGACTTGACAAATATCTAGTATAAAAGTATAAAATAAGTTTTGCATTGTAAAGCTTACCAGCCATTCTTTGCAACAGCTTGAATTACTTACTACCAACTGTCCACTTTCAAAATTACCTATTCTCAAATTTTCGTGTGCTCGGAAATCCTCCAATCTTGTTCACACATGGACATAAATGGTTTCTGCTAGGAGATTCGCATTTGAGCAAGCTTTTTTAATCATTTTTTTTCATTTCCTGTGTATATGTATGTGAGTTCGCTAATTGTACATTTCTTAAGGGTTAATAACGTGGTGGTAAATGTATTACTAATAACAGCAATAAACCAAAAAGGTATGTTTCTTACACAATAACGTCATAATTGTTCAACACAAAGACATGCTGACAGCGTGACCAGAGATAGTTGTTCTGGCCAAAATATTATCACTGTATTTCTAGATACAAGCAGTACTTTCACCTTCTGAATTCCGAAAAAAAAAACTCCAGGAAATCGTAGTCGAAAATAAACATTTCAAACCAAATTCGGATAAGGCGACTATGTATTTTTAATATTTCACAACCAAGTACCTTTTTTGTTCAAAATGTACCAAAACCACTTTGACCGGAGCAAAAATAAACAATTTTTGGAATTTGTTTAACTCTTTGAGGTATGCTGGTACAAATTTTGAACCACTTTTTCTGTGCTGTTTGATGAATGGTGCGTTGTAATTTAAACCAACGATTTTATTTATTTTTCCTTGAAGTACGTCGGTTTATTTTCTGTCCTACCAAACGGAAGCATGTATAAAGGTTGAATCAACACTTCTCTTGCATAGATGCCAGCACTGATCAATTAGCAGCTCGTTCTATAATAACAAACGAGACACATACATTTGTACAGTATCTGTTCGGCAACCAGAAGATGTGTGGTACAAGCTTAGTAGATCGGGATTTTTTAGAGAATTCAAAACAATAAACTGATAGTTCCGTATAGACGCGTAATTCAAAGATGATATAATATTTGTATTGAATCCATCTCAAGGAATTTCCTGAATGATTGGCAAGCAGCAACTAACGCAACACAGTGTACTTGATGTTATTCTATAGTACGAGTACTATAGTTAGTAAGACGGTTGAAACGGATGAACAAAACACAGATAACTTACCCTGCTGTTTGGGATATCTGGACTCGTTAGTCTTGCCCAAAATATCCGGATTCACCCAAGTGTGGCAGCCCAAGTGATAGAGATACATTTGATTGTCGTAGCAGATCTCTTCTTTATTATGCCTGTGGGAATAGCCCCCAAAAACGACTAGATAGTTCCCGAACACATTGGCGGTGTGGAAGGCACGTTCTCTCGGCACAAACTTTTCCCGTAAATGTTCCCGTGTGTAATGGATCTCAGCCCAGTGACGATTGTCCAATTGGAACATGAACATCCTGTCTGAGAGCTTCGAAAATCTGGCTACACCTGAAACGACAAATCAGTCTACGCTCAAAAAATTTGGACATACTAGAGGGCATAAGAGTAGAGAGCATCAAAGCCCACACTGGTGAGAAAAGCAGGTTGTTGGTACTGTGTACTAATCAAACTGAACTTCGCCTTTTATTGACACTGGATGTACTTATGTTCACTTACCATTTTGTCAATGTCTTATGTCAATAATAAAGACGGTTATTATTATTAAAAATTCCATTCGAGCATTCATCAACAGTAGAATTTAGCGGCAGATTCACCACGTGACAATATGAAAAAAGTAGATTGTACTCTATACTTTCCTCGCCTTGAGCTTTTCATAAAAAAAATCCCTCAGCTTGCATTTTTGAGCGTGTCCGTACAAGGTAGGCTCATTTCTTCGGAGCCCTGATGAAAAACCGTCAACAATCTTTAATACCTGACCAAATTACACTTCAAGCATAATCTATATGAAAATATCACGCCCACCTCGTCTGCTACCTGCTTTTATAAATTCTCGGATCCACTACGAAATACGCAATATTTACAACCGCGCGGCGGACGGCAAGTGCGACCGATAGGTACGGAATCGGTCGATTGAAAATACGTTCATCAAAAAATTGCGATACATCCTGCCCCACCCCCCACAACCCTCCGCTCCCAATTTTTTACCCCTAAAGATTTTTTCAAAAATGATTGGAATCCTCTAAAACGTCAAAAAATTAAGTTTAAGTGATTTTTATTTGTGTCGTTTTTGGAATTTTTCTCCGATGCCAATATACAGCGAAATTCGGATTGTACCAGGCCATAAATATTGCCGACTGTTTTCATCGTCGTGGGGCCTTATAGTTTTTTTATCAAACAACTTAAATTGTTTAATTGCCCATGTCATTTTGTGTTGCACCAAAGTAACATCTATACAGTTATATATACATGATAGGTTTCTTTAAACAAATCAATACCTGCTACTATGCCTCCATAAACCACCAATGAGTTTGTGGCGGGGTGATAGGCAGTGGTATGTGCAACAACCCTTATATCCAGCTGCTTGCCCCCTCTTGGTCTTATCTCTTTCCAGCTCTCGTCGAAGTCCGGCGACAGCTGTATGCTGTACAATGCGGAGGAGAATTCCCCATTATCTGTACTACCTTAAAATAGAAAAAAAACCGATGGTAAATATCAGTCAAGATGCTGGTGGCGCTTTCACTAAGATAGAATATCTACAATCCAGTAAGAAAATATCAAAATTAAGTACTTTAACAGACTGCAGCTTATGAAGGGTTTCATAATAAAGATGGACCGATGATGGGATTAAATCAAATAATATGTGCGTAAAAAGCACCAGTTTCCTATAAGGAACGTCCAAATGTCAAGTATAAGTAACGCCCATGCACTTCCAACTGAAGTCGCAGGTCTATACAAGTAAGTTCAGGTTTATCCGATCTATATGATAGGAAAATTGGAACTCTTGAATCTATGCTCCTTTGAAAAGTCATAGCAAATGAATGATGTTCCATATACAAAATGTATATGTGTCTTTTAAATAAAAAAATCGTTAGTAAATCAAACATACTATTTCAGAAGCAACATCTCTTTATTAAAAACCCCTTTAAAATGGCAATGATAAACTGAAATGTTACTTTCAAAGAGTCCATTTTAACTACTGAATGATTTTAATAGCATGATTCGAATATACAAAAAGTCAACAAATCCAATGTTGATATTATGTGAGATAAGAAGTGGGACACGATTTATGTATTTGTAATAAAAAATAGCTTTCTGTTGGCAGATTCACATATGCCAAATATTATCTATTTTAATCCTTTGTGGAATAAATTTGCAAACATTTTGATTAGGAGATTTTTTTATAGGATTGTTGTATGTATATGAATCAACTATCAATATCCCAATGTGAGGGTAGTTGAGCAGTGTTCATTTCCCCTAGTGAGGAAAAATTACCTACACCCATGATGCAGCCTGTGGATCTGTTTACAGTTTCATAACCACCAAAAATATGTGAAAAGAATATGTAATATATATATAATCATTTATATGCAGATAATTCAAATTATCTCGACATCTGCTTCTAATTGAAGTGTTTACTTATAGTAAAATCTTAAACTCACAAAAGCAGATATATTTGTTTCCTCTGATCATTAAAGGGTTGAATGGTTTGCTGAAGGCTTTGTTTGATTAAATATATGTTCGTTGAAATTTTAATTACTTTTTAAACAATGTAATTCTACAATGAAACACAAAATATGAAAAAACAGACAAATTTTGAGAATCTCACCTTAGGATGGAGTCAAGATATTATCAACTTATAAAACACACTATTTTGGATAGCATTTTTATTTTTGGAATATAAAAAATAAATTTCTTCAATAATAATAATTATATCAGGTTTACCTCCAAATAAATAAATAATCTCATTGGCACATGTGAGAGTATGTCTGGTCAGTCTGGGCGGACGGAATTCTGACAGCTGTGCCCTCAGCTGCCAAATGCCAGATGTGACATTATAATACCATAGATCATTTGCCAGGCTACCATTATGCAACTTGCCACCATATAGAAGAAAACCATCTTTGAGTGCACATGCTGCATGACCATAGCGTGATGCAGGTTTGTGATCATCTGTTACTCTGGAATGTCTCTGGTGCCGCCTGTTTTGAGTATTTTCACTTACAGTATACAATAATTGCTTAAGGAAAGAGCCTCTTTCTGTGATGCCCCATTTTTGTTTCCAATCAGGCCCAGCCTTTTCTATCAATTTAGCAACATCACCAGGTTCTATGGAGCTTACAAGACCTTTATCTGGCAATATTTCTCCATTTTCGTCTCTCCAACTGCTTGTCCGAAAATTGTAAATTTCTAAATTGGCAAGAACATTGTTCAGATTATATCCTCCAAAAACATATAGAGAGTCAGTCAGTTGTATATATACAGCGGAATGTGCAGCTCTAGGTTTTAATCCTCCTTCAGAATGTGAGAGCCAATGCCATTTATTGCCAACAGCATCATGTTCAAATAAACTACAGGCATGGCCAGAATATCCTGATCTGCAGACACATCTACCCTGTTCACAGTAACCTCTCCCTTGCAGTCTTCCACAGTTGTCTGGACACAGCCTCCTTGAGCAATCATACCCTCCCCAGTCACCCTCACACATGCACTGATGGTGAAAACACATACCATGATTAGAACAATTATTTGGGCAGTCTGTAATAGAAAACTCTGCTCTAAAACCATCTAGTACGTAATTTGTGTCACTGTACAATAGCACTAACATATATCCTGAGGTGGCAACAACCTGTTGTGGTTCAGTCTTGCCACTAAGCTACCAAGTAAAGGAGCATTAAAAGAATCTCCATCATAAACAAAAACATAGTCGTATGAGCATTCGGTGCCCATACTGCGAAAGCTCAAGGTGATGAATTTTTTGCTATCATTAGCTTTGATAAGCCATTCACAGTGGCTGTCTTGGGTGTAATTTGATCCCACTGGTCCATCACTGATGATGCCCCAGGATGAATGGAAGATCCTTCTGCTTCTGTCGCACGGCACTAAGTCTACAGCGGCATATCCGACCACGATGAAACATATCACGATTTCAGTTAGGGAGTAATTGATTAACTGAGGTCGCATATTGTCAGTGTGAGCAAAATACTATTGGAACATATTGTTGAGCGAATCGCATTGTGTTATCGTCATAAATTCTGCCTAAATCACTACATATTCGCGTTTGAACATTTCTTCCGTGTAATTTACATCGCGTTTTTTATTGAAAACTTTATTCTTTTGGCCTGACAGCTTGAATGTTTTGACGTCTCTGGATGTCAACAATATAACCTCTAGAAAATATCTTCAGAAAAGTTACTAAAAGTTATTTTGAATATCCCTGAAAAAGTTACTATTTTCTTTTGAGCTATGTTGCCGGCACAGTATTTTTGCAAAGGATTTGATATCTGGTAACGAAGTTTGTTATAGTAGGGCATGAGGTATTTTATGCATGCTGTAGCTGACAAATAATCACAGCACAACCAAGATCGAGAAAGGTAGAGAGAGAAAGACATATGCACACTTCAAGCTTTCGGTACCTTGTTAAGTGCAAATATCTACATCATAAAGTAGTGTATTAGTAGAGGGAGGTGAAGCCTGGCCTATAGGCTATCTTTGACCCTTTTTGCCAGCCTCGTGTGGTACCAGTACTATACCAGTCCACAAACCATGCGATATATCATGTACCTATGAAGTGATCTTGCACCGATCTATAAATATAAACACATCAATGGCTCAGAATGGACTTCCGACGCGGAGATCGAAACCGGGAACCTCGGGTGGACCGATTGGTAGCCCGACGCGTTAACCACTCGGCTATCCTGACCCCCCAATGCCTATCTACATTCTAATTTCTAAAGCAGGACACGCAAAATATTCGGCGATGTTTAAATTTGGCTGACGTCGTAATGTGTACGAGAGAGAAGCGCGAGAGGCGTAAAATATGTATCCTAGAAAGAGTGCGCCGGTGGCATCCGTAACCTCGTACTCGGGCTGCTAGGCGACGAGGCGCTTGTATCTCCTTCTAACGCTCGTATTGCACGCTTCTCAGTCAGTGGTATTGGGTTTTCAGTGTATGCAACAGACTTACAATGGATATACTTTTTATCCTAGAATATTATGGCAATTCCTCGCTCGGACACTTATGGAACACAAGATAATGCCACAACAAACAGTCTGGATCCATTATAGTTTCACCATTTTTGATCCTGAACGCAATACATTTTGGTACGTCAGTTTGAAAATACGATAAATTGCTTAACCCCGAATAACCCCAGGATATGAATTTTCAGATCACCCAATCTCAAGTTTCAGGGTTTCGTAGTACTTTTTGGGGATAGCCTGCAGTATGAATATACTCTATTCCACAAGTATCCATCATGCTTTGACAAGTACTGAGGTGAACAGCTGATGAACAAGTGACATTTTTGTGTTAGTCTGCATTGTTGGCAATAATGGATCGGGTATAAATCTAGTAAAACTTATTTGTGGTGTTCTGTTTTTTGTATGCAAATGAAATTGTCTAAATAAAAGAGCTATTAGCTAGAACAAAATGAATCTGTAGCATAAAAAAAAACAAAATTCGGCTCTGTCTAGCTGGCCCTCACAGATCCGTCAGAATTATGTGTCCTGTGTTGTTATGGGGAATTTTGAGATATTACTAGATAATCATCTGTTCTATCATGATGGATATTCATGAAATAGGGTATAGATAGGTGCAGTATTGAAACAAGATTTTTGAAGGCGAATTTCAAAGGGGTGGGGGATAACGACAATTAAAAATTGAATAGTGGAGGGGAAGGATGCGGCTGCTTAAGCACTTTAGGATGAGCAAATCCCCTTGTGAGAATTGGAGACCAGTAGGGTTTTATTACGTAAAAATACTATAAAATGTCAAAAAATGTCAACTTGCTGCCTAGATGATACCTAGTATGTAAATAATTTAATTCCACGTTTGCTCGCTCAATGACCATGCTGCAAGCTGCAAGTCAGTTTCTCATCAGCTTTGTTGGTTGCAGAATACCGAAATAGTCTGTAGATTGACGGTATTGGTCTGCATGTGCATAAAATCAGTGATATTTGCTATGTAAGAAAATTATTATTGAATAGGTGCCCATTGAAATATATCTATTAGCTGTGCCAGACGGGTTACTTGTGTTGTCCCTTCTGAAGAGAGGTTATGTTGAACGTCATACATTACAATTTTCTCCGTTTTTTGCGTTTTCAATAATATTGAGAAGCATTACGCGAAATCAGCACCGCACCCGCGTTGTGTGTAATTAAGCCATATCACAGAAAAGTTAGGAATGACCCATCACATACAAAGCGTTTTCGCACTGGCTCACATCTATACGCTGATTTGTATTTTCTGCTTGACATCGTAAAACAAAGTTTCATGAAGTTTGAACTTTTTTGCGTTTCATGAATATGCCTATATGTACCATATTTTTTCACCTGTTTTAATATACTCCTCCAACCAGGGATTTTCTTTTCCTATCGCTCTCTTTTTTTAAATTCAGCAAATTTGTATAAGTAATTTCCAGGTTGAATAAAAAAAAGCAAATGTGCAACTAATTTCTAGCTTTCAATCTCAAGTAAGTGTACAAGAAACCAATGGAATTATTATCAACACATATTATTAGCCCACAGATCCTCACTGTGCACCGATGCACTGCCATTTCCTTCCAGCTGTAGGATACAATTTACAGCTTAGACCTCCAATAATTCCATCTCTGAAGCAAATCTTACATCTCATGAGAGCCAAACCTTGATAACTGAAGCATCATGACGTTTAGGCAACACGTACAACTAACTACAAAACGAGTTCACAACGTGTCCATCAGCTAGTGCTGAGTTAACATGTTGTAGAAAAACCTACGTTATGTCAAAAAAATCGACCTGACATTAGGTACGTAATATTCATGTGGGTTGAGGGGGAGCTTTTGTCTTACGATTCAGGTCTAGCAAGGTCATTTTTACACCAAGATACAACAATATATTATACCATTTTCTTGGAAAAATGGTAAACTTGGGCGTCTGAGGGAAAGCACATCCTCCTCTAAATCCGCACCTCAGTCGATGTTGATATAGAAAATACGCCATGTGTGAAAACCACTTTGCCTGACCCATGATTCCTATAAAACCATATATTAGGATTATTACCGTAACATCGGCAACGTCGACAGTTCCATATTATGTCATTTCTGTCAACGTGTGTTGACTTGTCAGCTGTGGAAAATAAAAGCAATCAGTGTCAGCGTTGGAAAAGCAGAAAAGGCCCGAAAGGGTTTAGTTTTGTGATTTATTATTGTGTGATCCTGTTTAAACTTGTTAGCTTCTTCATTTTATACAATAGTCGCAGCATATTTTCCGTTAACAAAGCTAGTCAATGGTCAGAAAAGCTAATGGTGAAGTTCCGTATCATAGGGCCACCCTCAGAGGAAACTCTAACATCGTTATGTCCGAATGTGCATCTGATGGAACATCACTTGAAGATGCTGAAAAGTTATCGGAGCTACTCAGCGTCGAGCAGATATCGAGATTATCGAATACAACTAGCTCATTATCACAGCCAGTATGTGTAGTCTCAAACAACACAAATGCAAAGCCCAGTATCTCAATACCAGTGAGTATACTCATCGAGTCTCTGGTGAAAAACATCTGTTCCATTTACGAGGCAGATCCTAACAAAGCATCACTCATGTATAATCGCATATGTGATAAATTGTACAGTATGAACTTATTAAGCGAAAGCTATTCTATGACTGAATTCGAGGGTATAAGGAGCCAGTACCAGAGAGCCCTATTACATCTTATATCTTCAACGAAGAATGGTAGTAAAGATAACAATGTACCTGTCAAACCAAAGTGGCTGAATTCAGAAGTGAATTCGCATTACAGAAGGGAGTTTGATGAGGTGGAATTCATTGCAGGTGGAGGGTTTGGTCAGGTAAGATGCTAACACCTTTTCTGATTCATTTGAATAAAGAAAATATTTTTGCACTTTTGCGCTTATTTATAATTATGTAGCCAGGTTAACATTTGCAAATAATAGACCTTGAAATTGGAAAATCTAGATACTTGAAGCAAATGTATACTCCCCTGGCATGCTGCTCTTCCAACGACAAATATGAATAAATCTCTGTATATGTAACTCGTACAACAATATACAAATACTTTTTGTATTGCTAAATACACATAATAACATATTTTCATGAAAATAGACACTAAAAATTTGTATAATACACATTAAAAAAACATTTTTAGTTGTCTCTGAAAATTGCATCAGCCTCACCTGACACACTTCAAATTGCATATTTTTATATAAATGTGACAGATTCATGATCTGACCTTGATCATTGAGTATCAGAGCTGCTTTCCAGTGGTTTTTGGTTTGAAAGTGATACACTCGCCATGGCTTGCACTGGCAACAAAACTAATGGATGAATTTAGAACATCTAACAAAACTTTTATCACAATATCCTATTGTTTCTTGACCTAAAACATTCTCTTCCTATTTACTCTCTCCCTTCCTCCTTTTTCACTAACATTTTCTGGTTTACTGGGTCTCTCTATTCGTCGTTGTCCGTCAGAGCGGTCCGTGGGACCTTTGCTCTTGATTTAAGTATTGTAGGTCAGTAGCTCTTGTTGCCCAGATATGAATCAGTCAGGAAAAAAGAAAGAAAGGGAGGGAGAAGAGCAAAGAGGACAAACTGGTTCTACAGGCTGCTTCAACAAGCAATGATGATCTGACTTGATTTGGTCTTTTGTGATGTAAATTTCCTCTATTATCTAAAAAACGTAATCATTTAAATTCTATTTTTGTATTTCAATATGCTGTAGGTATATTTTGTCTTGAAGTCATTTTAGCAGAATTTTATTTAAGTAAGGTATGATTTCAGCACTAAAGACAGATTTGCATATAATCAAATGGAAAATCAAGTGCATTGTTGTCTAGATAAAACATTTTATCAGGATTCATCACCTAGATATAAGGTATTGATTATAGTGAGATAGCTACAGAGTACTTTCTAATCATTGCAGAAAAATCACGACAATCAAGATTAATTTTCTGCTCTGGGGACCCGATGACCGTGTTTTGAGGCCCCTCTGTGTAGTTTCGGCCTTGGGTGCAAGCATTGAATAACGTATTCTACTTGATGATAGCTAACCTGATGCTATATTTCTGCGTGCAAAAAAATATCCGAGATAAAATGAGATAATGTAGTCAGCATCTATGAGAATTTGTCACTGGTGTTTTTTCAATTTATTATATTACTTTAAAAAGTTAGTGTCTCATATATGGCGCTGTATAAGCATACATGTGTACTGCAGTGACATCTATGAGGCGTTAACTATTTCAAAGTATATATAGTAAACAAAGAACGATTAGATCATTTTTTGACGCGGGAATATAGCATTAGGTTGGCTATCTTCAGGTAAAATACGTTAATTAATGGTGCAAGTTGCCACATAGTGTGTGTGCATAGTAAGTCTTTTGATGATCTTCTTGTAAATCTTCGGTAGTTTAACGCGTAAATCTGTTTTTTTTTTTTTCATTTTCTGTCTCAAAGTATCTTGGCATGATAACTTCAAATCCTGTGGTGGTTCTTATTAGGTGTCCAATATTTCACAAAACGAGTCCTTTTGTGTTTTTAAGGGAAAAGTGCTATAAACACAGGGCCTAAAATATTTCATCCAACATACATTACCATTTTTTACTTAAAGCTGCACGAACCTTAGTATTTTACTTCCCATGCCACTGGCGAGGACGTATTATAATCGCAAAAAATTTCGAAAATGAGATATGTATTTTGGATGTTATATGCCATAAGAATTAATAAGATGATGAAATTTGAAATAACTAAGATAACAATTAAGGTTCTAAAAATATTTTTTTTACTTCCCACGCGAAAATTATCGAAAATGACATATTATGTTTTTTTGATGTTCTATGACATCACATAAAACCATGTTCTCATTTCTGTCGCCTTATCTGTCAGTATTTCCACTAATCCTTGGCCGCCTATAACTTGAAATGTACCGCTCATGCAGTTTTCACACAAGGTTACCACTATTCAAAGGACTAAAGAGCTTTTAGTTTTTGAATTTCGGTCCAGTGTGGCTTGTGCAGTGTGCAGTTTCCCTTTAGGGAAGTTAAGCTCTGCACACGGTGCAGTTAGGCAATCTGTTTACTTATCCCATCTAACATTGTGACCTAACCGCCAAAAACCATGAAGTACTCTCAGAAATACATGCCATTTTTTGAGTAAAACAAAATTTACGTTGTGTAGAATGCTTCCACCCATCTCAAAATGGTTTTACGGTCTGATACTGTCCCACGACGTGGAACACGAAAGTGAATGCGAAACTCACGTTGCGATCGAACGACAGACTCGCCATTTTGAAAGTACCGACGTACAGTGAACACACGATGCTCAACGTTCCAAACCATCTTGCCAACTGAAACGGCACTTGTCCCACTATCCGCGACGGCCTTCCCCACCGACACGGGACCAGCCCACTCGATGTAGTACCCATTCGAAAAACATGCGTTCTTTCTGGCGGACCCTGTATATTTGAGATCATTCTGAGTCATTGAAATATTGTGTCATCGACAATGTTACGCGGCTACGGGCTAAATTTTAGTGTAACCTCGTATTCTTATTCCAATGTGATCTGGTTTTGCGAGGACTTTCTCGAATATATTTATTACACTGTTACCTATACCAATCTTATTTACTCTTTAATTTGATCGTCTCATTTGGAACTGTATGTATTAACAGCACTTTGAACCCAACTAAGTTTGTAATATTATTTTCTGTGAGATTAAGTTACATACAGGGTGACTTCGAAGTTGAGTCATTTATTTTAACAGTGAGTAGATCTGATCAAAATAAATGTTTTTTTCCTTTACCATTTTTCTGGTAAAATTAAAGTAACAAAGTTACTACATAATAATATCATGTGCTCGTGTTTGGCAACAACGGATATAATCCACCTTATCGGTTCATCGCATCGGAAACAAAAAAGCGAAAGAATTTGGAACGATGTTTTTACAATTATTTCATTCAGTTCAGTTATACATACAGTCAGTGTCAATCGCGTGTGAATAGTGTCTATTGCGTGGCTCAAACGAAACAAAAAATGGCACATGTTTATGCGGTACGGTTTCCCAATCGAGTGAAACCAACCCCTCGTGCCTTTGTTAATGTAGTACAACGGGCTCGTGAATCAGGTGACTTCAGACCTCACAGGGGACCTCACGATCAAATATAGGTCCGCACTGAAATACTTGTCGGGAGGATACTTTATAAAACAAGGTAAACATTTTTTTTTATTTTTACACACATATTTTGGTTTATCTTCCTTCTACAATCATTATCTGAAAATTAATGACTCAACTTCAAAGTCACCCTGTATATAACATATTGGCAACCGTTATCGGAAGAAAAAAAACTATATTTTTTAATTAAAAATGAAAAAAAGAAAAAAATATTGAAAAAAAAAACAAAAAAAGTAGATCAGTATTAAGTAATATATATATATATATATATATATATATATATATATATGTATATATATATATATATATATATGTAGATATGCATAAATAAAAAAAATAAAAAAAAACAATCTTATAAACAAAATAGAGAAAAGGAAAAAATATGTAAAAGTATTGGTTAAAAAAAACTTAAAAAAAGAGAAATATGTATTCGCATACTCTATGTCACTATAATAGAAATAATATACAATAGTAATATTAAGTTATGGATGTTATATTTTCTATTAAAGCATAACATAACATAAGGATCTGGCCAGTTGGTCATCGACCAGTGCCAATAACAGAACAAAAAAAATCAGCTTCGATTCATAACAAATATGATCGATCGTAAAATTGAAAATTTTTTGTGTAGCTCATAGAATTTGCTGCGTATTATAATGTAGATAAGCGTTTTGATATTTATCAGAGAACGTTAAAGTGTGAATTCCTACTTTGCACAGTTTCACAATACTGAACATATTTTTATATTTGCAGTTTAACTTGTTATGAGTTAGTTGTAAAATATAAACATTCTACAGTTCCACGGATAGAGGTAACAAATATATACTAAGTGACATATAAATCTGAACACCCAGTTTAAATGGTTTTATTTTAATAAAAGTTGGTGAATGTATTTATCTTACTGTAAATAACAAGTGAAAAAATTTTCAGCCTTATCAGTTGGACATTCCGGTTTTATACTGCTTTTTCTTAATTCACTAACGCTCTAAAAATGAATATTTCAGCCGCAGTAAAGAATCAACGTTGGCGGCTTTTGGTTCTTGACATCCTTTACGATCGGTTACTATGCCTAGAGTACGGAGACCTGTACGATTTCGTCAACTTAGTGAGTTTGATAGGGGCCGTATAGTGGGACTTCGGGAAGCTGGACTTTCTTTTCGGGCAATTGCAGTTAGAGTGCAAAGAAGTGTAGACACTGTGGTTAGGTATTGTCAGGCATGGCTTCGAGAACGCAAAGAGCAAGGGGCACTGGACGCCGCCGTAGAACAACAGACCGTGAAGATCGCCGCCTAAGATTATTGGCCTTAAGGGACCGTTTCTCCACTACCAGGTCCATTGCAAATGAATGGTTTGCAGAACACGGAAGACCTATTGGCATGCGAAGTGTTTACTGACGAATGAGAAGTTTTGGCTTGTTTTCATACCGGCCACACTGGGTCCTCCCTTTAACTCGAGAACACCGACGTAATCGCCTTGAGTGGTGCAGACAACGGTCACTCTGGGATCAGGAATGAACAGTCTTGTCTTTAGTGACGAGTCTCGATTTTGTTTAGGCATGCACGATGGTCGTGCCAGGGTTAGAAGGCGACGTGGTGAAAGGAGGAATCCACAGTTTTTTGTTGAAAGACATGTTCATCACACGTTGGAGTTATGGTTTGGGGTGCTATAGCTTATGGTTCCAGGTCACCTTTAATCTTCATCAGAGGTAACATGAACGCGCAGCGTTATATCCACGAAGTTCTAGAACCCCATCTTTTACCCCATCTTGACACCCTGGCAGATCGAACTTTCCAACAAGATAATGCCCGACCACATGTTGCAAGTGTCACAATAGACTTCTTTCAACATAATGATGTCACATTGTTACCATGGCCACCAAGATCTCCCGAGTTATCCCCAATTAAGCACGTGTGGGATATGATGGGTAGGAGATGGCTCAATTTGCAACGTCGTCCTCAGACTCTAGAAGCACTTCGAGAGGAGTTGGTGGTTGCCGAGAATGAGATACCACAGGAGGACATTGACCACCTGATCAGAAGCATGCCTAGGCGCGTTGGAGAATGCGTAGCACATCAGGGTGCATCCACACATTATTAAAGGTTAAAGGGTTTTAAAGCAGTGCAATCATTTTGAAATTTTTATCATTTACTTATTATGCTTCATTAAGTACTCATACAAAATTTTATTAAAATAAAACCATTTAAACTGGGTGTTCGGATTTATATGTCACTTAGTATACATAGCTTATTCTAAACTCTTCAGGTATGATAGTCGCGTGCATTCCTAATATTAGTCATACGAGGGTATCGTGGAATGTATTCCATCAGGTCGGATTTATGATCTCTCACGCCATTTGGCGAGAAAGTATACAGGTAGTACTGCTATCATGAGTGATCTAAAAAACTAGAAATCGAGGAATTATATTTTTTGGAATTACTTACATGGATTCCGCAAAAGAATTGAGACCCAGTTTTGTCGTTCTCTGTTGTCAGGCGTGTACATTGTTTAACCGGTCATCTCCGGCCCCTGTATAAGTCTGAAAGTACTGCCCAGATATCTTATATTAATGAAGATTTTTAGGTCCAGTGGTACTGCATAGTATTAAAATAGCGGTTATATACTTATACTCTGATACTTATGACTCAGTATTTTAAAATATTATGGCGTATTATGGATAGCATCTTTTGTTGAGAATCGAAATCTATGAATTTTGAATCCGACGGCATGCATTCTAACCTCAACTCTGAAGTCATGTCAATTCAGAAGGGTGTGCCACAGGATACTATAGTGGGACGGTTTCTTTTCCTCTTATATGTCAATCAGATCGCAAATGTTTTGCCCACAATTGAGTATACAACTTACGCGGATGACATATCTTTGCTTATTTCATTGAAAGAGGATGATGACCTAAAAGAATACAGTCCTTGATGAAACTGGTTAACTTTTTGTACTCCCGAGACATTTTTCTTAACACTGAGAAAACAGAAGCACTCTGATTCCACAATAACCAGAGCAAGTTAGATCAATTTAGTATAAATGTCAATGTCAGAATTAGAGAGCCAAAAAGATACAAAATTTCTCCGAGTTTTTAATGATGACTGTTCGAGTTTTACCAGCCACTATGAGCAACTCTTTAAATCATTATCCTCTTAAGTATATCTTTTTCGAAATTTAAGAATTGTTTTAAGCTGTCCTGATTTATTGAATATCTATTAAGGGCTCACTGAGTTTAGACTTCGTTATGGCATTTGCTTGTGGGGTAGCTCATCCTAGGCAAATGAAATGTTTGTACCTTGAAAAAATATCATAGAAAATTTAGCAAATGTATGTAACCACCACTCGAGTAGAAAGCTGAGTACTCACATTGACTTGTACATATAGAGGGTGTTCCTTAGTGATATGCGAATATTTAAGGGTGCCAATCTACATGAAAAATCAATGTTAGCTTGCTTTATAAACTATGGTCCAAAAATGTTTCCTTACAAAAACTCGGTGTGTTGAAGTTTTAAGAAAAAATGGAAATTAATTAATATTTTCAGAACCGCTTCAGATATTTCAGTGATATTTAGTACGTAGTGAAAGTTAATAAAGTTGAATATTTTTCAATGCAAAAATATTTTTTAGCTTTAACAGTGGCGTCGTACGGGTATTGACTTCGATATTCTTTAAGAAAAAATTGGTACGCCAATGGTTTTTTGCCAAATAAAAATTATTTTTGAATTACCCGTTCAATTTAAAACAAATGATCTCTCTTGAATTGTTTTCCTTCGATGCGCCGTTTCTGAGTAAAAAAATAAAAACCGTTCGCATATAATTAAGAAACACCCTGTATATTAGAAATAGCCTCATATATTTTTGAACAAGCACACTTTTTCATAAACAGTGATTTTCACACGCACAATACTACAATAAAAACACAATTACATGTACCTATTTTCAACTATAAATCCAGCCAAATCTCACCAAATTACTTAGGATAAAACATTTTCAAATTTTAGGCATTTCTAATGTATTAAGTATGTAAAATTTATTTTTCTTGTCACCTTGTTTTTACTGTTCTTTTGGCCCTAGTTTTAAGTTTTATTGACAATTCCTGAATTTTTTGTAACATCGACAGGTAAATAATAGAATTTGGATATTATACATACGAAGCTTTGAGTCCCAGATTCATACAATATACTTGGCTCTATTTCTCTAATCGCATAATCTTAGCTACTGGTTTTGGTGAGATGAAACGCTAGTTTCAATACGCTCTCCGATGGGAACATTACATGTTTTCTGTTTTTTTTTTTATGATTTTGAGATCACGTCTGATGATATTATATTTATTTGCTGCGTGGTGGAATGAAATACATTTGTAAATACATTTATTGTATATTCGTATTATGTGCAGTCATTCATGAATCAAATGTATTTGACAGTATCAAATCCCTGAAAAACTCTTGGCGTACTGAAAAATAGAAAACACTTGTTTATGATTCATCTCCGTTTCATAACTTAATAACCAATAAACACAAATTCATTTTAGACATAGAGGAATACCGTGCTCCTTTTATAACTTTCATATACGTGTTTATGATTGTTTAACCAAAATTCTTGTGATTTCAGGTTTATCGAGTAAAACACAAGCTAGATGGTACAGAATATGCGATCAAAAAGATCCCCATACGATCCGAGGGGATCCAGTCAGTGAGGACCTACTTATCGGAAGTGAAGACATTTGCAAGCATGAACCATCCAAACATAGTCCAATACAAAGGTGCCTGGCTGGAAATCGGCGCTCCCTCTCACAGGGCAATCACAGACAAGCCTGACCACGGGGATTTGCATGAGGCTAATAGTAACACCAAGTATATTTATCATGAGTTGCAGTCGTTCACGGAAGAGAGGTAATGTTTATACAGACGCACATTTTAATTATGTCCTCAGCAAAAAGCATAACAAATTGTTCTGAGATTTGATAACCATCCTCGCCCCACCTGGTAAATATATTGTTTTACAATACTTCTCTCAGATAAGCATAAACGCTCAGGATGGTAGATATAAAAGTCATATGTTGATGAAAAATTATTTTTTTGGGATCAAAAATCCCGGATTCTTCGAAAAAGATACCATTTTTATGTATTACAGCAGACGCTCGATAATGTAAACTAATTTAGTCCAAGTGTGGTTCACATTATCGAAAAGTTTACATTAGCGAACGTGATTCATATAATATTTGATTTAATAAAAGAAACGTTTAATACATACTATTTATAACAAAATAAAGAAATATTCTAAGAGCGATAAGTATTTTTTTAATTAGAAGAAAAATAATTAACAATTTTTGTCTGCGTAAATTTGCGCTTAGCATTGTCTTCCAATGCCTGCGCCCGTAATTTACGAAGAACTAAAATATCCGTGTATGAAACTTCTTTTCTTTCAGCCCAATCTAAAGCTTGGTTAAAAACTTGTATAGCTTGCGCAATCAACAGGGATATTAACATTTTTAAATGAGCGTGGATTTTTTGCTTTTCCAATTACCAGTGGCTTTATTTTGTGTGAACCATTTGCATTAGTGCAGGCTAGAAACGTTATTCATTGTTTCTCCGGCTTTCTTCCCGGGTCAGATTTTTCAAATGATGCAGCATAGGTTTTCTCTGGTAACATTTTCCAATAAAGGCCACTTTCATCTGCGTTGTAAATTTGTTCCATTCTTAAATCTAGCTCGGTAATTGTTTTCATCAATTTTTCTTTGAATGGTTGCACTAATTGTTGTTGTGCTGATAATTTTTCATCAGATATAGACAGCAGTCGAATTCCATATCTTGTTTTGAATCGTTGTAGCCAGCCATCACTAGCTACGAAATTTTCAGTTTCTTTCAGTTTTTCATTTAACAGTCTCGCTCTCTGTTTAAGTACTTCGATACTAACTGGGACATGATTTCCCCGTTGTTTTAAAAACCACTTATACAGGGAATTTTCCATTTTAGGTGCCTTCGCATTTTTTTAAGTTTTTCTTTTTCCCGGACCTCCAAATGTATTGCACGTTCTTTGTAAAATTTGAGTTTTCATACGCTTAATTTTACAGATTGTTGCTTCCGATACTCCATATTTTTTTGCTAACTGTGTCACTCCCGCACCTAGTGCAACTTCGTCTATGATTTTCACTTTCTCACTCAACTTTGAACACTTTCTTTTATAGGATGTGGATGCCATAGTCGTAAATATATTAACGCGTGCAATGTATTCACTTAAGTTCAAAAATGAAATACATACGTACGTATAAACGTATCCTAAACGATCATACGACTGACCGAGTTTGTCGTATTTTATCGCAGAGGTGAATCCCCTACACTCTACATCATAAATCGGGGACTCCCCGACGCCCGACATAAATCATGGAGGGTTCAGCATTTTACCGTCGCGCTGTTTCCGTGCGCCGAGAGTTGTTTACGTTATCGAGCGTACACATTGTTTTCGTTATCGCGCGTTCCGTTTGATCCTATAGAACGAAGTTTGTGTTTACTTTAGCGCAAGTTTTCATTATCCCGTGTTTACGTTATCGAGCGTCTGCTGTATTTCAATTTCATTACTAAAATATTTTTCTAGGTATGCTTTTAGATAGATTTAGAAAATTGCATCTATCTGTATACATATAAAAGATAAAATTAATAAATCCATATATAATGATATGCGAATATTTAAGGGTATGAATCTGTATGAAAAATTAATGTTAGTTCGTTTTATAAACTATGGTTCAAAAATGTTTCCTTACAAAAACTCGGGGTGTTGAAGTTTTATGAAAAAAATGGAAATTAATTAATATTTTCAGAACCGCTTCAGATATTTCACTGATATTTAGTACGTAGTAAAAGTTAATAAAGTTGCATATTTTTCAATGCAAAAATATTCTTTAGCTTCAACAGTGGCGTGCGTACGGGTATTGACTTCGATATTTTTTAAGGAAAAAATGGTACGCCGATGGTTTTTGCCAAATAAAAATTATTTTTGAATTCCCGTTAAATTTAAAACAAATCATCTCTCTTGAATTGTTTTCCTTCGATGCGCCCTTTTTGTGTAAAAAAATAAAAATCTGTTTTACTTCAGCTATTATTTCAACAAACACGAAGACACCAGCACCGATTTCCAGATTGACTTCGAGCACAGTATCAGTGGTGCCAATTCCATAAATCACAACGTTCCATCAACAAGCGCAAGAAACGTCACAGTCTCTCGGAGGGCGAAGGTGATGCGTCGATGTGTAAGCTGGACCTGAAGGAGATCGAGAGGATCAGGACCAACAACAAGTCTAAGGTCAGATGGGCCACGTTGTACATACAGATGGCGCTGTGCCAGACTACGCTGAAACAATGGTTGGAGAAGAGGAACGCGATGGTTACTGACCCGGATAAGGCGTTGGTGCAAGGATTGAGGAGTGATGCTGTCAGGCAGATCCTGATTCAGCTTTTGAGTGGTGAGTAGAATCTTTCTTTTTATAGTGTTACTACCACTTGATGCTTTCCTACAGCTCACTAATTTGATTCTCGGTCCTTCCAGACTTTCATGAGATTTTGAGGAAAATGTAAATTAAGTGATACGACTGATTTATTTTTTTTTACTGTCACTTCTTACTTTACAGTGTTTTGTTTTGAGTACTTTGATGCTATTTGCTGCCAAAATTTGACGGAGAGATCTTGAGGCCGATTGGGTATATTTAACGGACTGTTTGGTACTCGTACCCTATTGGTGCAGAATAATGGTTTGTTAAATTGTGAAATCCACCCTTAGACAGTTAAAAAATCGGATTAACAAGGTTTCTTTGGGATCCTCATAGCAGCCGCGCTGCCCTTGCGTTTAGGTGCCTGCCTGCGCGTCTGCTGCTGCGGTGTAAAAAAACCTCAATATTTCAAATTACAGTTTAAATATAGTTTGGTGTCGCAAGTATTGAAATATTTATAGAATCTTTCGTGGGAGGGTATTTTCCAGATTCTTGTTGTCATTCGAACAATTCATACCCAAGGTTGGATCTGCGGACAGTCGCTTAAAATAACTTTCTTCAAATCATTTGTGTGAGTACTATTCCTATTTGTTATATCGATCATTTGGTACTACAAAACCCAAAATATGTACTTGAAATATTGCGTTTTGGATACAATAATACATGTTTCTAAATTTTGGGATATCCTGTATTAAATTGGATCAATTGTTCACTGAGAGAAATTTTGGGATATCCTGTATTAAATTGGATCAATTGTTCACTGAGAAGCAGTTCTTTTCCTGAAAATTTGAAATGCTTTACAATAACACCAGTCCCCGAAATAAAAAATTCTAAAAGATGCAGCGATATGAGACCAGTAAATGTGTTACCAGACGTTGAAAAATTATTAGAGTCCATAGTGCATGACCAATTAATGCAGTTTATAGAAGAAAACAAAATTTTAGTGGAGGCGCAAGCAGGGTTTCGAAAAAAATATTCCACAGAAACGGCTTTCCAGTTGGTAACTGAGAATTGGAGAAGAGCCATAGACTCAGAAGAAGTTGTCATAGCAGTATTTTTGGATTTGAAGAGGGCATTTGAAACGATTGATAGAGATATTTTGTTAGGTAAATTGAAGGCATATGGTATAACAGGAAGTGTTTTAGATTGGTTTAGAAATTATTTGTCTAAAAGGATGCAAGTTACAAAAGTTAATGACACTATTTCATCAAAAATTGAAAATACGTTTGGTGTTCCACAGGGCAGTATCCTGGGACCACTGCTTTTTATTTTATACATAAATGATTTACCTGCCATAGTCAAAAATGCAAAATTCAGATTTTCGCCGATGACACTATGATTTGTATAAGTACTAAAAATATTCAGTCTGGTATCTCTTATATAAATGAAGACTTGAAGCTTGTCTCAAAATGGTTAGCATCTAACAGACTAAAATTAAATGCAAGTAAAACGAAAGCCTTGTTAATCGGAAAAAAACAATGTACAAATGTTCAACTGAATATTGATGGTGAAGATATTGAATTCGTAGAAAATTTTAAATACCTGGGGGTTTTTGTTGACTCTCGATTAATTTTTGATATTCATTATGAAAAAGTTATAAATAAGATTAGTAGTAAAGTGGGATATTTATCGAGAGTTTCTGGATGTCTGAGTTCATATAGCAGAAAAATTATCTATAATACCATCATTCTTCCAAATTTCTTGTACTGTTCGACTATTCTATATTTAGCAAATAATTCCATTTTTGAAAGACTGCAAATTTTACAAAATAAGTGCATGAGAGTAATACTAAATAAAGATAAATATACTCCAATTAGGCAAATGCTTAGCAAATTAAAATAGCTCAATGTAAATTTTTTTATCAAATATCTTGTAATGATATTCATTTATAAAGTAAAAAATAATATATTTCCATCAAGTCTAACTAATTTAACATCATCAAATGTCGACCATCATTTATATAATGCCAGAAATAAAGATGACTTCCATTTAATGTCCAAAAAGTATAACATATGCTACAAATCTCTATTCCATCAAGGGTTGATTGAATATAATAAATTATACTCGGAGATGAAAGACCAGAAAACTTTGACAAATTTTAAAGTAAAATTGAGAAATCACTTGTTAAATCTACAATTATAGGTTGCCCAGCATTTACATCATACACCATATGGCTTTGAATTTACTAGTTCTAAGTTGTTTACAATTATTCTGTTTATGTAGCCAAATGTGCTGAATAAATCTTTCTTCTACTTAATCTTTCTACTACTACTACTAGGAAAGGGATGTAATTTCTGTACCCTAGTGTTTAGTTAGTTATGAAAACAGTATACATTAAATTGATATTAATGTGAGTTTTCTTTGTTTCAGGTTTGGAATATATTCATTCAAAGGGCGTAGTACATCACGATAT